GGAGATGCTTGCCATTGTCACGGCACTCAAGGAGTGGAGGCACTTCCTCTCCGGATCCAAGCACAAGGTGGTGGTCCACAGTGACCACAAGAACCTGGTGTACTTCACCACCAGTCGCATGCTCAACCGTCGCCAAGCGCGATGGGCGATGTTCCTGTCCGAGTTTGACTACGAGATCGTGTACAAGCCTGGAAGGGAGATGGTCGTGCCCGACGCCCTCTCCAGGAAGCCCCAGCTGGAGATCAAGCCGGACGAGCCGGCTTACACACAGCAGCGCCAAGTGCTGCTGGATGCAAGTCGCCTCAGAATCGCTGCCCTTCAGGTGATAGCACTGTCGGCATTCGAGGAGAAGGTCAAAGCAGTTCAACAGACTGACCCCTATGCCCAGGAAGTAATCGCAAACCTGACCAACCCGCGATTCCATGCCTTCCGCCTCCGAGATGGACTCCTCTTCCGAGACGGGTTGCTGTATGTCCCGACCACCGAGCTGCAGCTTGAAGTGCTGTGGGACAGCCACGACTCGAGGACGGCGGGCCATTTTGGGAGGGAGAAAACACTGGAGCTCCTGAGCAGGAACTACTGGTTTCCCAAGATGGCCGCCACGGTGCGCAAGTACGTGCAGTCCTGCGAGACGTGCTGCAGAGCCAAGCCAGCACGCCACGCACCATACGGACTGCTTAAGCCACTCCCGATCCCGGAGTCACCCTGGTCGGCCGTATCCATGGACTTTGTGGTCGAACTTCCCAAGTCCGAAGGCTTCGACGCAATTGCCGTGTTCGTCGACAGGCTCACGAAGATGGCCCACTTCCGGGCTTGCAGTACCTCCATCACGGCCGAAGAAACGGCAACGCTGTTCATGGACAGCATCTTCAGGATCCACGGGGCTCCCAAGTCCATCGTGACGGACAGGGGTCCGCAGTTCAAGTCCACCTTCTGGCGACGATTCCATGAGCTTCTGGGCACTTCGACTGACCTGTCCAGCGCCTACCACCCCGAGTCGGATGGGCAGTCGGAAAGAGTCAACAGCGTCCTCGAAACCTTCATCCGATGTTACTGCGATTACCAACAGGACGATTGGGTCTCGCTTTTGCCGTTAGCTGAGTTCGCATACAATAACTCGGCCCACTCGAGCACCAAGAGCACACCGTTCTATGCGAACTACGGATTCCACCCTGCCTGTGACTTCAAGCTGTCGACCCAGTCCGAGGTGCCTGCAGCCGAGGAGCGCATCGAAAAAATCAAGCAGCACCTCGAACAACTCAAGACTCACCTCGCGGACGCACAGTCCAGACAGAAGGCCAACGCCGACAGGCACCGTAAGTCTTTTGACATTGCCGTCGGATCCAAGGTCTGGTTGTCTCGTCGCAACATAAGGACGCAGCGCCCAAGCGACAAGCTGGATTGGAAGCGCCTTGGACCCTTCGAAGTCGTTAGGGCGATCAACGAGGTGGCCTTCGAACTCAAGCTGCCGAAGTCGATGGCCCGGATCCATCCGGTGTTCCATGCGTCTCTGCTGGAACCGGTCAAGCCCAATGAGCTCCCAGGACGACAGGCACCTCCTCCACCGCCGATCGAAATTGACGGCCACGAAGAATATGAGGTGCAGGAGATACTGGACTCAAGGGTAAGGGGTAATAAGTTGGAATACCTGATCCGATGGAGGGGCTACGGACCAGACGAAGACTCGTGGGAATCCGAAGAGAATTGCAGGAGCGCACCTCAAGTAGTCCAAGAATTCCATCAACGGTACCCCTTGAAGCCTCGAACGCCGACCAAGACCAAGTCCGCAAGACACCCCAGACATAGGAAGGGGGCTTAGGAAGAGGGTGATGTAATGGGCACGCGGACAGGGAGCTCCGGGACGACCCGGAAGGCATCCCGAGGGGGCTTAGCCCGCGCCAAGGAGCGCAGGCAAGCCGGTCCGCTACCCCCCAGGGATGTAAATGCAAGGCGTCGCCCGCCGAAAATAAACCGGCGAGACGACAACACCGTCCTTCGCCTAGTAAACCAGTCGTTACCCGCTCACTCCAGTCCGTCCGCTCTCGTCCAGTCCCCAGTCCTGTTACACCTAAGGAGGGGGGTGACTCCCGTAGCTCCCCAAACACCCAGACCCTGCTGCCACCAAAACTCTTCGTTTCCGCCCTCCGAGCTGTTCCCGTTGCCCCCGAGTCCGAGGATATCGCCGTCCTCATCAAGTCAAGCCTCAAGAAGGACTCTACCTTTGGTCCGATCCTGTCCCAAGTCCTCAAGAATCCTGCCTCCTGTCCCGGCTACTCCGTCGACAACGACCTTCTGCTCTTTGAAGGTCTCGTCTGCGTCCCCGATGTCCCCGAGCTCAAGCGCAAGATCCTCGTCGAGTGCCACGACTCGCCGACTGCCGGCCACTTCGGCGTCGCCAAGACCTTTGAGCTCGTCTCCCGGACCTTCCACTGGCCGACCATGCGTCGTTACATCAAGGAGTATGTCTCCGGATGCGACACCTGCCAGCGGAACAAGCACTCCCGTCACAAGCCATACGGACTCCTTGCCTCGCTCCCTGTTCCCGATCGCCCTTGGTCCTCAGTCTCGGTCGACTTCATCACCCAGCTTCCCGAGTCCTCTGGACACACAGCCATCTGTGTGTTTGTCGACCGCTTCACCAAGATGGCCCACTTCGTCCCGTCAAGCAACGAGGCCAACGCCGAGGACACTGCTCGGATGTTTGTCGAGCATGTCTTCACCAAGCACGGTCTTCCAGACGATATCGTCTCAGACCGAGGATCTACCTTTGCCTCCAAGTTCTTCCAAGCCGTCCTGACCCGCCTCAAGATCAAGCACAAGATGTCGACTGCCTTCCATCCGCAGACCGACGGCCAGACCGAGCGGGTCAACGCCATCCTCGAGCAGTACCTCCGCTGCTTCATCAACTTCCAGCAAGACGACTGGGCCCAGCTTCTCCCTCACGCCGAGTTCACCTACAACAACACCTCTCAAGCAACCCTCGGCTGCTCCCCCTTCTTTGCCTACACCGGCTACCACCCTCGTTTTTCCGTCGCCCTTCCCCGCACCACCAAGAATGCCTCCGTCGCCGACGATCAAGCCCGAGCCATTCACTCCCTCCACGATGAACTCAAGTTCAACATCGCCCTTGCCCAGGACTCCCAAGCCAAGTTCTACGACCCCGGCCACTCCCCTTCCCCTCCGTTCAAGGTTGGAGACCGAGTCTGGCTCTCTGCCAAGAACATCAAGACCCAGCGACCCACGGCCAAGCTCGACCACACCAAGCTTGGGCCGTTCAAGATCGTCGCTCAAGTCGGTTCCCGCGCTTTCAAGTTGGACTTGCCCTCGTCCATGCGCATCCATCCGGTGTTCCACGTCTCCCTGCTCGAACCCGCCGCCGACGACAAGATCCCAGGTCGAACGATCCCGCCCCCTCCACCCATCCAAGTCGACGGCCACGACGAATGGGAAGTCGAACAGATCCTGGACTCCAGGCTGTTCCGAGGTAAGCTCCAGTATCTTGTGCACTGGCGTGGCTACACGGTGATGGATTGCACCTGGGAGCCCGCCAGCAATCTTGCACATTGTCCGGAGCCTGTCGCAGCCTACCACTCCTCTCATCCCTCGAAGCCTGGCCCTCTCGGAGCTCGGGCCTTGAGAGGGGGGTAGTGTCATGAACACCCTCTGCCTTTGCCCTCTTCCTTCCTTTGCCTTTGCCCTTTCCTTTCTGTTTGCCTGTCTTAGCGTTTTCCCTTCCTTCTGTTTGTTTGTTTCCCGCGCTGTGCTGCCTTGTTGTCTGACCGCCAGCACGCGCGCTGTCTGTGTTCCGTTCCCGCTTCCTTACTGTTGGTCATGGGATACGCCCACGACGCCGCCTCGACGCCGCCTGACGCCTTGGCGCCGCCATGCCGCCGCCACTGACGCCCGCTGACTCACGGATCCCGAGTCACGGCCGCCACCTGCTTCGCTCGCTGCCTCGCCCTCCCCGCCGCTGCTTCGCCCTCCCCGCCGCTGCTTCGCTCCTGCCCCCTCGCTCTGCAGCGTCGATCCTTGGCGCTCGCATAAATAGCCCTCCGACCAGCCTCTGTCTTTTGCCTTCGTCTTGCCACTTTGTATTTTTAGTATCCTAAGCCTTGGATCTAGAATAAAACTTTGGCTTCACACTTGACACTCTGTGTCCCAGTCCAGTCCCCGCTCCTCTCCCTACGTTCGAGTCTTGCATTAGGACTCTTGCGCACTTCCCTGTTTGCCCCGTTGTCCAGTCTTGACACAGCGCGCCAACGAGAAGATCGTGTCGTTCTCCAACAAGGAGTACCAGCATCGAACTGGCACCAGTCAGGCGACCAAGTGGATCCAGAGCACCCACAAGGCCCTTGGTCTGCAGGAATGGATGAGCACCACACCAAGTCCCAAGATCCCTGGGTTGGCTTCATTCCTGCGATACATTCGCCATGTGTTCGATGGAGACATGCTGGAGAAACAGCTGTACTTCAACCTGACCCGGCGACGGCGATTCAAGCGACTGGATCTCCACAGCAAGCGACAGCGCACCGTCCACGAGATGTGCAAGCAAGTCATCGACCAGGCACCAAGGGAGACCGAGGTGGTGATTGCCTTTGGGAATGCATCCTGGAAACAGGGGAAGGGATATGCCTCCAGTCCCAGGAGACTCAGGTTTGCCAAGTACTTTGAGCAATTCCACCATCACCAGAGACGCCCACCAGACCCATCCGTCTCCAAGATCCATGTGTGCTCGGTGAACGAGTTCAACACATCCCAGGTATGCTCACACTGTCGGGAAGCCAAGCGACTCGAGTCACCCGAGTATCTTGATATCGAGAAACCACACTTTGTCCGGAGCTGTGCAAGCTGCCATACGCTGTGGGATCGAGACATCAATGCAGCCAGGAACATGATCTCGGTATGCCAGTCGATCATCGCCACAGGAGATCGACCGGGTGTATTCAAGACTGTGCTTCCGGACCCACCCAAAACAAAGTGATTGCCAACCAGGACGGGAAACAATCGCACGACCTGCCCACTGGGGTCTACGGATCAGCAGACCTGTGTCGCTGATGCCAGGAAGTGACTGTCCCGTTTCTTTCTGGTTTGACTGTACTCATACTCTCGGCGAGGCATCGAGACCCGGCGACGCCTGATCCGGTATGGTGTGAGGTTTCTAGAGGTGCTGCTGGACGATGACACGCTCAACATGACAGCCTTCCTTCGCCAGAAATTCCCTAGATATGGCGTTCCGTTTTTGATCATCAAGGAGGAGCCGTGGCAGCCATCGGAAATTGACGACAGTGATTACATCAAAGCGATGAAGAATTCGTGGGAGCGGTACTACACCGTGTGATCGCTCAGTTGATCAGCGTCCAGAGCGATTGAGTGTATATAGATGGGAACCAGGTCACAATGCTAGTATGGGCCATGCGACATACATAGGTATGCCCGGCGTAACTGACAAAATCACCGACTTTGTAATTTATCCCGGTTGTCCATGGAGTCGCGTTGCTGGGTGGAGCAGGAACAGGCGCAGGTGCAGGGGGAGGTGCAGGCACAGGAGCAGGAGTAGGAGCTGGAGTCGGAGCTGGGGATGGGGCAGGAACGGGTGAAGGAGTAGGCGACGAACCTCCGAGAATGCTATGGGCGGTGTTCAAGAAATCAAAGTCCTTTTGAGTAATCATAGACGAACAGGCGAGACCACCCGTTTGAGAGCTCTGGTCTCGTTGCAGAGCCCAAAACGAAAATCCAGCAAGTCCGTTTTGTTTGATGTACGAGCAGAGTGTCTTGCAGTCGTCGAGAGTAAACACTGATCCATCATCATTCTGGCCAATCATTACAACCGGCATTATCATCTTATACAATTGCTGCGACGAAAACGTTGGATACACTTGAGCAAGCTGGCCCTTCAGCCCTTCCAGAGCATTAACTGCAGCACCCCCCATATCTGTTGATACGGATTCATCGTAAAAGTCCATGGTCATTAATCGAATGGTGTCGATTCGGATACCGGATGAAATAAATGTCTTCAAACAAGCCAGGCCATTGTTGTCGAGGCCAGTGGGTAATGATGGGAGTGTGAGAGAGAACACCATAGAAGGGTACTGTTGCTGTAGTTTTGAGAATACCGCCGCTCGCCGTTGGTTAGTGGAAGTCTCTGCGACTGCAGAGCCCTCGATATCAAAATCGAAGCCCAGAGGCTTGAGGCTTAAATACATCTGTTCGATCTGATTGCATATTTCAGTATCGGTCAATGATAGATCGAATACATCCGGAGCAGCGGCCCCTCCAAAGGAGATAATAACATTACCACCACTCTGCTGGAACGCAGCTATATCACTCTGCATCGACTCCATCAAATTATTAAAATTGCCAGTTGAATCCCCAATAACGAACGCGAGGGTAGCAGACGTCAAACCGCATTTTTGCTTTGCATCCATTAACGACGTTACAGCATAATACTGGCTATTCCCTTCAGCCCAAGCGTAAAAATAGGGGGTTGTTACGAAGGAGTTGGTCTGCTGGGTCGATGACATTATGGTCAGTTTCTAGAGGTGGACCTCTAGAAAAAAATCAACGAGATTTTGTTTTTTGTTGGACACACTGTAGCAGCAGGAATGTATAGCAATTTGTTTTCCAATCATTCATCGACGTCAAAATATCGGTTCTATTATGCAGACCCAAGTCATAAGTGGACGTGCAATCTCAGATGTCTCCCTTGCAGAGGCCACGACGTCGACGGATCACCTTGTCACAAGATTAGCTGCCTTGGTGTTCCCTTCTGCGACAAGCACCTAGCTCTGATCCAGCACTTGCGTATCCAAGGCTCTGACCCGAGTCGTATGCGGTTGTTCGCGATTCGCCCTCCACCAGAAATTAGCGGCTTTATCGATCGATTCGACTTTGACTCTGGGCCTGTGTTCGAACAGGGGCAAGTCATCATTCAATTCGAGGGAGAAGTCATCAACCATGACCAGATGGTCCAACGCTACGGAGAGACTCTAGTCGGACCGTACACAGTTCAAGCGTCCGACTCTGGAGATCGATTTATTGACGCAGCATGCCAGCGAGGCGTTGCCGCGATCGCACGGACAACCGCCCAAGAAGAACGCGCAAATGCGGAACTGGGGCATGGCTCTGAAGGAGCCGTCCTGCGAGCAACGAGGCCGATCATGAATAAAGAAGAGATCGTCGTCTTCACCATCTACCCCCTCCATGCGGAAGTCAATGATATCAGATACGCGACAAAGGATAATCCCAGCTTCGACGAAGATGCTTTCAAGCGGCAGGAGAAGCGAGCTGAATATGAACGCGACCCGATGAAATATCTGCTCTCGCAATCGAAATCGAAATCGCGGAGAAAGCGAGACGACGATGATGATGACTATGACTTCGAAGAAGACGATGATGATGCCGATTTCTGGAAAGATATCTTTTCGAGCAAAACGAGGAAGAAATCGGCAAGTCGGTCTTCCAAGAAGAAGGGAAATATGCTTTATACTCCTGGTCACGGATTTATACAAGGAATTACAATCACCCCGGAGTCATTGGGAATCACTAAGAAGAAACGGAAGAAGGATAATGACGATTGGGACGACTGGGATGATGACTGGGATGACGATGATGACGAGGAAGATAAGCCACGTAAAAAACGAAAGAGCAAGAAATCAAAAAAACGGAAGAGCTCCAAAAAATCCAAGAAGAAGACCAGCCTGGAGGACTTCTTCACTTTTTGATGGTGGACTCGTTGTTTGGTGGTTTTTATGTACCCATGGTATCAAATTCCTTACTGTGATTTTTACGCATTTTGCGGAGTTGGAGCTCGAGTGGACTCCTCACATCCATGGGAGCCATCGCACCACATAGGCATCCGTGTTGCTCGTCGTGTCCAATGCCGTCTGATAATAGAATACGGGCTGAGTGCTTGCCCATGTCATTTGTATAAACGAACCCAGTGTCGCCAGCAGCTGAATGGTGACTGATTTCGAGCCTACCGGGTTCGCTGTTTTGCAAGCTAGGTAGACACAGGAAGTTCCCGTATCAGTCGAGCAACCAATAAAGATCAAATAGCACCCCCATGTCGGACCCGAGGACATCGTAACACTCGTTCCGTTGCGAGGGATTTGGATAGTGATCTGAGTAGCTGGCTTAATGTTGTTGATGGTAGGAACTGTGATGTTGGAGGAGAATGTGGCTGCCGCAGCGACCGCCAATGTACCCGTCAAGGTGGAATTGCCTGTCACTGCCAGGGTGCCGCCGACGCTCGCTGAGCTCGAAAGATTCGCGGTTCCGGTGACGACCAAGCTTGATCCGACATTGAGATTGGTTCCGACATAGACACTCTTAGTCACGGAGAGTCCTCCATTGGTAAAGATCGAGCCTCCGGAGAAGCTCGAGTCGGTGGTATTTGTAACGACGATTCCGCCAGCGCTGGTCAATGCCCCGGTCAGCGTGGACGTTCCCGCCACCGAAAGCGCTCCACCGATACTGCCGTTTCCGCTTGTATTCAATGTAGTAGCGGTGACACCGAGACCAACTGTCAAATTTTTGGCTATGCCGACCCCACCGGAGACCACCAGAGCTCCAGTGCTGGTACTACTGCTGTCTGTGGTGTTCGAGATCGCGAGCGCTCCAGTCAAGGTCAACCCCCCAGCAAGAGTCGCCATCCCCGAGACATAGAGTTGCTTTGTAATCGACATACCACCGAGGGTATATACGCTACCGCCACTGGCGGAGGCGTCGACCGTCGACGTCACATTGATACCTCCAGCAGAAGTCAGTAATCCAGTCAATGAGCTGGTGCCAGTGACAGACAACGTCCCTCCATGAGATGCATTACCAGTCGTCGACATGGTGGTGGAGTTGACACTCGTGCCAACATAAAGCGATTTTGTAATGCCCATGCCTCCAGCGATAGTCACCGAGCCCGTCGTACTGGACGTGCTGTCTGTGGTCGATGTGGTGTTTACCTGTCCGTTCGCAGTAACGCTTCCGAGAGTGGTAGCCCCGACGACTGATAGCGTGGAATTCAGCGTCACTCCTGCATTGAAATTGCTAGTTCCGATTATATTCAAATTACCCCCTACGCCAACCGTACCAGTGGTCGCGATGGTTGCCGCCGTGATTTGAGTTCCGACCCAGAGCGATTTGGAAACCCCCACCCCTCCAGCGACTATGAGTGATCCTGATGTCGTGCTCGTTGCATCGGTGGTGTTGGAGAGAGTGATGATACCGCTCGCATTAAGAGCAGCGAGATTGGATGTCCCAGCTACCCAGAGCGACTTGCCGATGCCGATTCCGCCCGCGACAACCAAAGCACCAGTCGAAGAGCTAGTCGAATCTGTAGTGCTCGAGATGGTCAATGCTCCTGTGAGCGACAGGCCGCCAGAGAGAGTGGTCAACCCTGTCACAGTAAGGGTTCCTCCGATGCTAGCATTACCAGAGGCCGTTAATGTCGTGGTAGTCGCGCCTCCTCCGACATTCAGAGCGCCAGAGACACCTGCTCCGCCAGCTACCTGAAGAGCGCCAGTGGTCGTGCTCGTCGATGCGGTACTATTGGTGATGCTGACCACACCAGACGCCGTCAAGCCAGCCAGAGTCGATGCTCCTGTACACTCCGAGTGTGGATGAGAGGGTCGTCGCTCCTGTCACACTCAATGTCCCTCCATGGCTGGCGTTGCTGGTCGTCGTCATGGTGGCCGAGTTGACCGAAGTGCCAACATAGAGCGACTTGCCGATTCCCATACCTCCAGCCAATGTGTGTGATCCGGTGGTTGACGATGTCGCATCCGTGGTGTTAGTGAACGCTACTATGCCAGAAGCATTGATTGCAGAGGCCGTAGTCGTTCCAGTTAACGTCGTCGTTCCGGTCACGCCAAGAGCACCCCCGACCGTAGCATTACCTGTCGTGCTCAAGGAGGCCGAATTGAGTGACGTTCCGACCCACAAGCTCTTCGCGATTCCCATACCTCCAGCCAATGTATGGGATCCGGTAGTCGACGACGTCGCATCTGTGGTGTTGGTGAATGCGACTACACCGGAAGCTGTAATCGCAGCCAAAGTCGAAGAGCCAATGACGGAAAGCGACGTAAGAGTCGTCGGCCCAGCGCCCAGGCTTGCAAGACTCGTTGATCCGGTGACTCCTAACCCACCGCCGATACTAACGTTACCTGTCGTGTTCAAGGTGGCCGAATTGATCGACGTTCCGACATATAGCGACTTACCAACCCCCATACCTCCAGCTAGAGTGTGTGAACCAGTGGTCGATGACGTCGCATCCGTGCTGTTGGTGAACGCAACCACTCCAGATGCTGTGATCGCAGCCAGAGTCGAAGAACCAGTCACCCCGAGAGCGCCCCCAATCGTAGCCGCCCCGGATGTCGACACGGTCGCAGAATTAACCTGCCCACCGATCCACATGTTTTTTGCGATTCCGAGGCCTCCAGCCACAACCAGAGCACCTGTGGAAGTACTTGTCGAGTCCGTAGTATTCGTGATCGACAGTGCTCCACTCAAGGCGAGACCTCCATTGAGTGAAGCGAGCCCAGTCACAGTCAGCGTCCCCCCGATGACGGCATTAGACGTCACCGACAGCGTGCTCGAGTTGAGGACTAGTGCCCGCCCATATCGATTTCGAGGCTGAAATGCCTCCGAGTACGACCAAAGCTCCAGAATTCGAAGTCGCATCAATCGTACTATTGACATTCAATGTGTTGTAAACGGTCTCGGTTCCGTCCACGTAAAGATTGGCTGCACCAGTCGAATCGGCGATGATGTCCACATCACCCTGGTACTCAATGTTATCCGGTACGTGAGTCGCCATGTTGCAGCAAGATCGTTTGCTGAACTATAGCATCATTTTTGTTTTGCCATAGAATCGGGTCCTGTGCCAAATGCCTGGTGCGCTGTGTGAGGCTCAAAGATTCTCAGCACGACCCACCAGTGAGAAGCCAGCATGACGCAGAGTGATCGATTCTGCTTCTTTTCCTACTCTCCAGATATGCCACCCGGCCAAGGCGAATACGAGTGCGTCGCAGATGCCAGCATCTACACCAGCCTACAGCAAACCCCGAATTGGAGACGAGTACTGAGCCACTTCCACGTCTGTCCATTCGGCTTCGAAGGAAAAACGTACAATTCAATCGAACATGCATACCATGCAGCCAAGATCTCGATCGCGAATCCAGACGCAGCATACGAATTCACTCGAGACAGTGGGAGTGCACTAGGTCGGGGCGATGGTCTGGCTGCTAGACGAGCGAGGCAGTGTGTTCGCTTGTCGAAGAAGCAGGTCGATCAATGGGAGGCCATCAAAGCAGACAGACTCTACCACATGGCAAAAGCCAAGTACACTTCATGCGCAGCTGCTCGTGAGATCCTGCGATGCACCGGGAATGCAGAGCTCTGGCATCCGTCATCGCTTCATGCCCCAGCCCGAGCGATTCTGGCATCTTGAAGCGAGTTCGGAGCGAGCTCCCAGCCAATGGCGAAATCTTTTGATTTTGTGTGAGCAGAACGCTACGAGATGTCACACATAACCACAGGCGCCTTCCTCCAAGGCAATCTCGATCTCCTCAATGACCAAGGACTCACCACGGGAGGTAGTCTGTATACAGCGGGCACCATTCAGGTCGCATCGACAACCGATTCTACCGCCGTGGGTGTCGGCTCTGTGATCACCGCAGGTGGGCTTTCTGTGGCTAAGAACACAAATCTAGGAGGGACACTCACTATGGCAAGCGATTTTTCCATCCCCACGTTCGTGACGCTCTCCAAGTCGCTGAAGCAAGTCTACATCACGGGCCAGACGAATTTGAATGGATTGTTACTGAATGCACTGACCACTGACTGCACAGCGCTCGGAACAGGCTCTGTCCAGTTTTCCGGCGGTCTCTCGGTCCAAAAGAATCTATATTGCGGTGGAAGCATTGACTGCTCTGGTAGCATCACCGCATCGAGCGGTCTGACTGTGACTGGTAACACCTCTCTGCAAGGCACCGTGACCGGTTCGAACGGAATCGCCATCTCCCCACTGGTCTATTCAATGGCTCTTCCAACCAATGGAACGTCCTTCACTCTGACATCGGGTCCTACTTTTGGAGCGTTTCTATTGCTCATTGGCTCCGCGACCGACCAAGGAATGTATTTGATCGCCTCTGTGTGCAAAAGCAATGTCACCATATCAGGCCTAACCCCAGCAGCCCCCACATACAACACCAATACATTGGCTTATACGGGCCTATTGATCACCATTAGCTGGAGTGCGACTTATTTGACATTCCGGTATATATCTTCCAAGCCGGGCAGCACCAGTGGATCGACTGATAATTACACCATAAAATTGATACCATGGAATTAAGACTGATACACTGCCCAGGGTAGACGCCATGCCTGGGATTCACCCCCATTGCAGTCCATGACCTGGATAGCTGTTGAGTTCGCTGCTGACCCACCCGCCCGATCCACACATTTGGCTGTGTTTCCTGCAAATTGCATGGTAGATCCGCCATTAATGACGTTAAATTGTTGACTTGGTGTCGAAGGGTTGCAAGTCTTGATCACCATCTGGGTGCCATTTTGAAGATTGCCGCCATCGAGGCATTTGCCGCTGGTAAAATCCATAATCTGCTTGGTAGTAGGGTTATAACGGAACGATTGCCCTCCGTGACCGTGACAAGCCCACATGGCCAGATTAGTCCCGTCCGCAGTACCACCTCCCCAGACCGAAGCACATTGTGTTGGGGTATCTGCGGCCGGGATAAGACCCCAGTTGTTGATGAAACCAGACACGGGGATGCCAGCACCAGGAGGACCGGGTTGTCCTGGAATACCTTGTGGTCCGGCTGGTCCAGCGGGTCCAGTGGGTCCAGCGGGTCCGGCCGGCCCCACAGCGCCAGGAGCACCTGCAGGACCTGTCGGGCCTGGTGGCCCCTGCAAACCCGGCAGCCCCATAGCCCCCGGAGGACCAGTGATTCCAGCTGAACCCGTGGTGGATACGGCACTTACCAGCCCGGTCGTTGCATTGGTGCTTGTGATGGTCGGGGATATCGCGGAAACGGCAGCCGGTGTCGACGACACGATAGAGGCGGGCGCCGGTGCTGGTGCTGGTGTGGATACAGGTGTGGGTGTGGACGCAGCCGTCGATGGTGATGCAGGTGCTGCTACTTGCTCCATACGACGAGTGAATGGGTTGTATTTGTAAGCGACACCGGATCCAGTCGAGGCTGGTAGAAACGACTCGACTCCCTTCTTTGTATAGTAATACACTGACCATGAATCCGATAATGAATATCGCAAAGTAGACGATCGGTGTTTGGTCCATGGGCAAAAATATTGTATTGTCATTCAGTCTCGAAAAAAAGTACATGACTCAACTTCTCTCACACGCCCTTCTGCCAAGCCCTCTTGCTCTGTCTAACTGTGAATAATTCCCCAGCCGCATTCAAGCGCACCGAGTCCTGCCTGATCGTCCACACCTCTTGATCGTTCATCAGCTCTAGGACTCGCTTGTGTCCTATAACAACCTGTTCCTTACACACACCCTTCGACGACATTTTATGCTTCTGAGTTTCGCTATCGAATGCCGAATAGAGCTTGGGCTGCTAATTCCACGAGCTCTGTGCCACTGAATTCAACCTTGAAAAGACCAGGTGTTCGTCGAGTTGATGGATCTCGCGAGAGAAATTGCTTGGCTAGCTGCTCGTACCGAAATGGATGGCATGTGACAATATCTTCCAGCCGATCCCCCGTGATCGCCATGTACAACGAGTCCGTATCCATGTGCATCGGCATGAATCGATCCTGTGTCGTCACTTGACACAAGAAATCATAGTAAAACTGCAGCATGCGCAGCTTGGCGTAGCTGTATACGGCCAATCCAATCTGGATCGGAGAATGATGAACGATCCTTGTACATCGCCTGGTCACTTCGTATAAATCGTTACCGAGAGGGTGTGCCTCGACATAGCTCGGCTCCATCACATGCTTCTGGAGATGTGGTGCTTCGACAACCCTGACCCGAGAGAAATCCTCGCGCTTCATAAGCGATCGACCATATGCCGAATTCCCAAAGAGCTTCATCGTATCCGCCAGAATCGAGTCTCCTCCTTGCTGGCGAGCCTCAGTCACTTCGTCAACGAACGACTGAAAACATCGGTTGGGCTCGAACGATACGAGTCTGTGGATATTAGTAATCACGAGACCGTGCTCGAGATACCATCTGAGCAGAGGCGAGAAAAGAATGATTTCCTTCGCATCCATAACGGATTTGATCTTGCCCTCCTCTGCATCCTTGATAAAGATGGGTGGAAAGTGGCTGAAGTGGTTCCGAAGCGAATCGGGAACGTGAATGTCGACTTTGGCAAATCCAAAGAATGCTTCTGGAAGTCGGTATCGGTATTCCGAGTCGGGTGGTATGATGCGGTCCACATAAGCAGCCAGTGGGCATCTCCTGCCCAAGACACCATAGATATAGCGCATTACCGTCCATGCCGATAACCCGCTGGCAAATGCGATCTGGGTTGCCATGGATCAGTGTTTCGCCGGCCCTGGCAAATTCGTTGAACACCAGGCTCGGCCCCCCGACTACAGAGTCGCGAAGCTCGGTGTAAAGCGCCTGATCACTTATGAGCATGAACGATGCATGAATGTCGTCGCGCAGCGGTCGGAAGAGATATTGCTCGACCAGCCCTGGAATACTGATGGCATCTTTGAAGACATGAATGTTCTTGGAGCTGTAGAACGACATGAGTGTCTCGACCGACCGATACAAACCCTCGGCAATGGTGGCGGTGTAGCGATCAATGTACTCGATCACGGTTAGATTCACATCGGCTGGATGGGTGTGCACGGGGTGATATTGCGCCGAGAGTGTCCCACGCGAAGACAGGGATTGAATCGAAAGCTTGTGCTGACTGAGTGGGTCATGCAGCTGATCAACAGAGACCAATGTCGTCCAGGGAAATGCTGGCACCTTGATCTCCGGGTGATATGTCTCAAAGAATGTCGACAGCGTCACACCCGGTGTTAGAAAATTGGTGAGATCCAAGAAGCGTAGCTGGTCGGTAATGAGTGCTTGGTAGCGTCTGCCTTTCTTGATGATGGAAACGGAATGGTTGGGCGATGCTTGATACAGCTGCGCCACGATTTGCCGATAAAGCATTACACCGAGATTGAAGCCGACGACAGGGAGCTGCGCCAGCCACCGCTGAAGATGAACGAGATTCACCTTTGCACTTGAATTCGATGGATCCTTGGATTGCTCTCGGAGTCTGCCCAGCAAACCACGGTACTGCTTGCGCATATGGTTCTCTGCAAGCGCCTGTAATCCTTGCAAATATCGTACGAGATCGCGGATCATATGTTCACCGCGGAAGACTGCATGCCCCGAGAGGACCTCGCGCATGATAGAGCTTGGTGCATCGGCGGCCCGGAAATTGGTTCGGGCATGTACTTGGAAGAGGTGGTGGACGTGTGTATCGGTAGTACCGTCGTCCATATCGTCGATAGTACCTTCAGCGCGTGGCTTGCGGATATGGATGGTATCGAGCACGACAAAGAATGGATATGGGGCGAGCTCGGGGATTCGGTCAAAGGTTCCCATTGGTGGTTTGTATAGCCCCTCCTGAAAGACCTGAACATCCTGCCCACCCTTGCATATGTGGCGGTGGAGTGCGGCTGGACCCGAATAGATACGGCTACATTTCTCACATGGGAACAAGGCTGGGTGTGGATCTGGTAGAAATGAGAAATGGCGATTGTCGACGAGGATGTTGAGGGTGCGTTTGTCCTTGTACTCTGCCTTTCCATCGCGGAAGAACCGGAGCGACTCACGGTTCATTGGGTCGCGAATCCACAGACGAACCCGCGTCTCGAAGACATCCTCCATCTGCGGGAGCTCTCTGAGTCGGATGCCGGGGTATGTCTTTGGTGACTGGTCAGGGAGAGCTTTCCTGAAATACTTCTTAGTAAGCCCCTCGATGCGGTCATATCGCACGGTCTTGTTGGATCCATTCAGCTCTTCCCACTTCTGGAGTGCGGCTAGACAGCGAAAGAAGCACAGTTTGTCGTTCTTGTGGCTCCTGAGCTCCGCATAAAAGCTGGCACCGACACGGCCATAGGACGAGTTCAAGGTTCCATCATGGTGTCCATTGAGGTCGTCGTCATTTGGGACTTGGGCGTCGCCATCGTCACCATTATCCGGTTCGGGCACCACTGCATCTGCATCAGGAGCAGCCTCGCGATCCGTATCACCCAGCACAACCACATTCGCATCGGGTCGGATGGCCGGGGTGTTGTCAAAGTTGGTGATGTATGCCGTGAAGCTGGTAATTCGTCCAAATTCGTAGTAGGTGCTTGCCCTGAACGCAGCGCATTTCGCTCGAAAATCCAGTCCTCCAAAGTGACGATCGATATCGTCGGTCGTTTGTATAACGACGGCGTGACGGATGATAAAGTTGTTCACACCCGCATAGAACATGCGGGTTTCATGGGTAACCTTGTGCCTGAGCGAATACGAGAACGCGATAGTGAGCTTATAAGGCCTCACCCCGGCAGCTCCGAGATGCTGGCGACGCTGGTCGTCGTATGCCCTCAGGTCTCGGATGACTCCCTGGTCATCGGTGTAGAGCCAGGTGATTTGGTATGCGCGGGTGTCGGTGTTGCTGGTGATGCGGGACACGAGATTATTGGGGTCTCGCAGTGCAGCAGGTCGATGCAAGAGTTCTCCCGGAGGACGACCACCCTCCAAGTCCGGGGGAGCTGATTCGGGCTGTACTTGAGGTTGCTGCTCAGGCTGCGGCTCTGGTGCGGGCTGTGGCTCGGGCTGCGGTTCTGGCTCTGGTTCTGCTTGAGGCTGCGGTTCTGGCTCTGGTGCGGGTTCCGGTTGTGGTGGCGCAGCATCGGCATCGGGCATCGGTGTATCGATCGGCTCTGCGGCTGGTTCGGCAGGAACGATGGTCTTGGGGTTCATGCAGCCATGCGCATCGGGTTCGTGGTCCGGGAATAACAAACGGATTTCGGGAGAATCAAAGACGAGCAGGTTGTTCGGAAGAAGGATACACCCGGGTGGGATGCCCTCGGGTGCGTCGCGGAGCTGTGGGGCGAGCTTGCCGATGAGAGACGTGTTGTCCGTCATGGTTCTGCGGTATGATCTTTCCTGGGATTTTTTCTTTACTGCTTTTTTTCACACATGGCTTCAGCGCACTCAAGCACGCATGACGAACCAACGCGTCGAGCTGAACAGCGTGGACCAGATCAAAGGCTTCAAGTATGCTGTGTGGAGAGAGGATCCGAATCCACCACACGTAAATCCCGTCCCAGAGGTTGAGCAGTATCAAGTGGAGCGTGTCATTCGTCGACAAGCCGGTCGGCAAATGCTAGCTGTGAGATCCACTGACTGGTTCCGAGCAGACCTCATCGGACCCGATGAGATTGTGTTCGAGTATGTCGATAAAACATGGCCGACGGGCTTGGTGATCGATCGCATCATCAGACAGCGATATCGCAAGCGTAGTGAGACCGTAGACTCTCCACCACCACGGAATGATAAGCAAACCGAACGAACAGCAAAAGGGTTCTTGTATGACATAGAGGTACACCGACATAACCAACCTAATACAAAGTTTGAGATCGAGGGTGTCACTGTCGAGGATTTGATGCTCAGTACGAAAGACTACGTGTATCTCAACGGAGTCGATGCGCTCCAAAAATACTGCGCAGAAGGGGTATTGCGCGACCCAAACTTCCACTTCCCTCAATTCCCATTGCGTGATTGGATCCCACAGAGTGTCATTAAACGGGGTATACGTGACGTCCAAGGGAAGCCTGAGGATGTCTATGACATCATCCTGCGACACTACCCCATTGCTGCGAGTGGTGAAGAACAGCTCGGCTTCTTTACAGAGGACTCGGCCGCTCTTTCACCCGAATTCAGGGATTTCGCGGAACTCCAGGCAAGTGGGGTGGCTATCACCGATGACAATAATCCATTCATTCCGATACACACTCCATTGGAACAACGGGTCTTTGATAGAATCACGGGTGTGGGCGTCTTCAAGGACGGCTATCAATACACGATCAAATGGAAGAGAGGTCGATACGAAGAGACGAAATGCGACGCCAACGAGATCTATCGCCTCATGTCACTGCGTATCCGGTACTACCACGATTCCGGAAAAACTCGACTAGCATTACCAGATGTTGTCCGCCGGTTTCTTCAGCTGTCCTCCCCGGATGCAATCGATAATCACCCCCGCCCCCCATGGCCCGCCATAGACGCCGCTGATGGCTGGAATCCGACCGAGCCTGACCAAGACGACGATGATGACCGGCGTGGCCGTCGATCCCTCCGCATCGCACAGCAACGAGCCAGACTGCGTAGCGAAGAGGAGCGTGGGGAAGAGCGCCGCATTGAGCTCAATAGATCGTACAATCAGCTCAATGAAGTGAGGCGAGCTGCTCTCGATAACCCGAATTACGAGCCCAGCAATCCCTTGCAAGCGGTAAGAGCCGCCAGACTCCGTGGATCGACAAGTGATACGCCAGCACCCACCAGAGACCAGACAGATGATGAACCAGTCGAGACAAACATTGTCATCAACGAAGATGGTCAGCCCGAGGAACAAGAAGCACGTCAAGCAAGCGTACCACCAGACGATGAGTCAGACTCGGACTCGGACTCGGACTCGGATGACGAGCCAGAACCATTGACAGAGGACGAACCAGACGAAGACGTCGAGACACTGCGTCGATACCTGAACCGTAAGTGGCGCGAGATATGTCGAAAGATCGACCCCAATTTCATACCCGGTACCGAGCCGGAGCACGACAATCCGTTCCTCTACTACAGCCCCGACAAGCTCTACAATTACCTGATCGAGCAGCTCGGCGAAGATGGCGAAATCGGAGACGACGAGACCGAGGAACCCGTACCGATTTCAAAGGGGCTGACCCGTCGATTCGTCGCAAGCATTGCTCACCGGTACCGCTTCCTGAAGCCCAAACGAAGCAACATCTCCTTCACGGAAATGCGGGCACTCTATCACGGTGAGTGTGCCCAGATCGATCTGATCGACTTGCGCACCAGCAACTCGGCCAACCTCTTCTACGGATACATATTTGTCATGATCGATGTCTTCTCGCGAAAAGCGTATTTTCGACCGCTCGCGCGCAAGACCAAGGAGGCCTGTATCGAAGCATTCCTATCCATCGTGTTGATCGACGGCTACCGACCGCGCTACATAGAGCACGACAAGGAGGGTGCTCTGACATCCAAGCTCTTCAGCCAGATCATCCTGGACGTCAACACATACATCACCCAGATCGACTTCGATGAGCAGCAAATCATGCAATTCGTGCTCAAGGTGCTGCGAGACGACCGGTTTCAAATACCACCTAATCCACGGCAGCAGAACCGGATTCAGCACCTAATGACCCCCATCGTTGCCAGAGCCCGACGCGGAGACCAGTTCTTCTACTTTATGCCCGAGGAACAACAAGCTATCATCGGCATATTGACTGGAGACGCCGGTACAACGCACCGACCATGGACATCGAATGGTGGGCAGCCAGTCCCGGAGCCATTCAAGATCCGCCGGAAGGCATTCCTGTCGGGCGATATCTACATGCCCAGCGTGGTCGACCGATTCATCCGCACCATCCGCACCATGTTCCGGCGGTTCTGGGAGACGAATCCCAAGGAAATGAATCAATGGTACCCCAACAAGCTCTATCTGAAATGCTTGGAGATCTACAATAACAACTACCATCGAACCATCAAAACGACGCCCAATAAACGAGCCAGGCTCGACACGAAACGAGAGAGTGCCCGCAGAGTGGACGATCTACTCAAGGCCCGTGGGGTGGTGTCTTACATCGTGGATGCCGATGCCATTGCCCAGGCAGAACAACGAGCACTGGGTCTCCGCGCCGACCAACGACCCACTCCACAGGAGATTGCGCTCGAGCGGTTTCCCTTCCGCTATGGCGATGACAGCAGAGCCTTCAAAGCCGGGCAGCATGTATTGGTCCTGAATCTCAAGGCACAGAAGGACAAAATGCGCAAGGGCTTTGAGCCGTCGTTCCTACCGGACACATTCCAGATCGTCCGCTCAAAGGGCAATGGCTATGTTGTCAGGCGGCTTGTGAATGGAGCCCCGGTGCAAGGCGAGTCCGAATACCAGAACGGCTATGCATTCAAATACTACCAGCTGCGACTCATCCCCGCTAATATCCTGCAGAAGGTCATCAGGCACCAGCATGAGATCGGAGAGGGACGAGTCAAACCCGACCTGATCCCATCATACATTGATGGCGAGGAGGGCATTCGATGGCAGCTGGGTGCGGATGTCGTCCTTGGTCATCGATACACACACACTGAACAGGATAGAGAACAGGGTAAGCTCTTCGCATCTCGAATCCAGTATCGAGTCCAGACGAGCCTGGCCGTTGGCGATGCGGGTGAGATATGGGTGCATGCCTTACATTTCGCTCGATACAAGCAATACAAGACACTGCGCGAGGTCCACACGAGATGGTATGATCCGTCATACTGGATCAACCGCTACGGAGAAAATGAGCCACCGCTCTATACCGGAGTGGTCGAAATGTGGGAACCACAGAGCCGTAACAATGAGGAACGCAAGACAGAGCTGACCAGATACTTGGAATTCGAGCTGGAAGCACTGGAGACCATCAACAAATCGACACTCTGGGAAGAGGCGGCTTGGGTGACGATGAATGCTGCCGATCTTGGACTCCAGATCACAAACCGAGACGCCAGCAACAACGCCATCCCATTCCGCTTAATCAACCTGGTCGCCCCATCGATCCAAGACCGCGCATATCTCGAGCCGATTACCACTGGAATGCGGGAATACATCCAAGAACTCAACCCAGCCGACCGACCACGGCTCACAAACGACAACACCGAGCTAGTCGAATCGTTTGATAGTATTATTCATTTAGCAGCGTATTTACATGGGCTTTATGCATGGATTAAGGGTGATACGGAGCGAACGAACAGGCAGCAAAACATCGACATCATCAAGGGCCTGCTCTCTACCAAGCCACTTCCATCTCCATGAACTTTTCCTCGTCCAGCAGAACATCCATGAGACCCGAGCCACCCTTGTACAGCTGAGCCAGCAAGACCTTCTCAGTAACGCCATCGCAGCGATCCACCGTGCCTTGGGCAGCCGCATCAAAGAGAATGTCCGTCGTCTCTTCGAAACTCGACATGGCAATCGGACCGGCGTCTGCTCGGTTGATGCCGTGACGTGTGATCGACATGAGACCGCCGCGGGAAGTCATCACATCCACGAGCAAAGCAATGTGTCTGTAGTTGATGTATGAGCCGTCAAACTCGATCGTCGTTCTGAGTTCATCAAGCAGGCACTGCCGAGCCGCCTCGACACCGAGCGTCTGCAGCACCATGGCGGGATCGTTGATCTTGATGCTGTACGGGTCGATGTAGGGTACCATAAAGCACCCCTCCAGGTTGATGCCGGATACGACGACTTCTCCCTTTGCTGAGTTGATAGCTCGGATTCGTCAGACCCTCGATGCCGCTCATGTGAACGCTCTTGAGCATCTCGATTCCAGTGACCTCCATGAACTCGTTGACATTCTCCATGTCTCCCTGGGTCTCGATGTCTTCGCGGAATCGCACATGCATAACGCATCGGTCGTTGTTGTCGTCCGTGTAGAAGCACTGGAAATACGATTGGCTCAAGGCGACGGCTTCGGTGGCTGTGTTTGGGAATGAGCGTTCAAAGAGCGCTGCAACCTGGCTCATTTGCCAGCCAGGCTGCACGAGCAGCTCTTGGCGATTGAACTCGACCCGCAGCACCCATGGGCAGCACACGGGCTCGTCCGAGAAGAGGTAGTGGTGGCCGACCAAGTCGTTGTCGAGCTCCAGGTGTGGGTCGTAGTGCACCGAGATCTCGGTGGCAAAGTCGTAGAGGCGCTTGTACACAAGCTCCTGCACCACCTTGTGGGCCGGTGCATCCGGCAGCAACTTCATGATGGTCCTGGGTGTCTTGATGTTCTTGACCACATTGATCAGCTCACGCAGACGAGGTACGCCGAGCATGAGCGAGTTGGCCACGCCGGCCAGATGGAAGGTGTTGAGTGTGAGCTGAGTGATATTCTCACCCAGGCTCTGGGCTGCCACAACGCCGACCATCTCGCCGGGCTGGACGACGCCCTTGCGGAATTGCTTAGTCAGCACACGCAGGATCTCTTCGAGATGCAAGCGGCCGATGCGCTGGGTGACGATCTGCTTGCTGGACAATGTGGTTCGCACATGGAGACGGAAGAGCAGCAAGCTCGTATCGGACTGCTCGTCGATCGGGCTCGTAAAGAGCGAGTTGAGGGTGGCTCGGACCATGTAGAAGGCCTTCGAAGGCACCGATCGGCTCAAAAGGAATCGTGAGATCGCTCGTCACCGATTTGATGATGCGCTTGAGGTTGACGGGAAGGATCTTGACGTCGCTGACCTTGAGCGGGACCCAGGACATACTCAATATCCCAGCGGAGCGGCTCGTACTCGATCGATGCAGTCTCCTCCAAGAAGAACCGGTCGCGGATCTGCTCGGGTGTGAGCATCTGGATGTCGGTAAACTGGCGCTCGGGAGCGGTGCCGTCCATACCGTCTTCGCCATAGACGAATTGGACAATGTGTCCCCGCGAGTTGCGCACCGTCCCATCGTACTGCACGAGCACATCCTCCAAGGCCTTGACCAAGCGGCGCTGGATGTATCCCGTGTCCGAGGTCTTGACGGCAGTGTCGATCAAGCCCTCGCGGCCACCCATGGCGTGGAAGAAGAACTCGGCCGGTTTGAGGCCCTTGATGTAGCTCGATGCCACAAAGCCGCGGGACAGCGGGGTCGGATCGTAGCGGGAAAAGTGGGGCAGCGAGCGATCCTGGAAGCCCCATGGGATGCGTTTGCCCTCGACGTTCTGTTGACCCACACAGGCCGCCATCTGCGAGATGTTGATGTAGGAACCCTTGGAGCCGGCAACGACCATTTTCTTAACGTTGTTGCAGGCGGAAAGCTGGCGCTGAGCAAGGTGACCGGCGGTGTCGCGGGCCTTGTTGAGGATGCGATTGACGGTCGCTTCCTCCATCTGGGTGCTGGCGTCCTCGATCGAGTCACCGACGGCCTTGTCGATCTTCTTCATGACTCGCTTGGGGATGATCATGTCCCCGACACCGACCGAGTGACCGTGGTGCAGGAGCCAGTGGTTGACAATGTACTGGATGTTGTCGATCATGTCGCGGGTGACTGCACCGCCGTGATCCTTGAAGACGACGTGGATCAGGCCGCCCTGGGAGGTGCCAACGGTCTTCTTGCACAGCTTGCCGGCGATCAATTCTCCGTTGCGGATCATGACTCGGGTGTCACCGGGGCTATTGTAGGTGCGCTCGCCATCGGGGTGGTCCGAAGTGAAGCCATTGAGGTTGATATCGGGGAAGGCCAACGAAACGAGCTGCTTCCCAGTCCACATGGGCACGGGCTTGAGGATGGCTGGAGGAGGCAGCCCATAAGCACACATGTCCTCCCTGGGCGAATGCATGGTGATCTGCATCGCCATCTCGCGACCGATAAAGACGTCTCGGCGGGTCATGAGATGAATGGCCACAAGAGCGTCCTGGACAATGCCCATGACCGGCTTGTTGGACTGGGGCGACACAAACATCTCCGAGACCATCGAGAGGGTGCTGAGTTCGGCCTGGGTCGGGTAGCTGAGGCAGCTGTGAAGGTTCATCTCGTCGCCATCGAAATCGGCATTGTAGGGGCTCGTGACGGAGAGGTTGAGACGGAAGGTCTTGCCGGGCATGACCCGCACTCGGTGCCCCATCATCGACATCTTGTGGAGCGTGGGCTGGCGATTGAAGAGCACCACATCTCCATTGAGCATGTGGCGATGCACCGTCCAGCCGACACCGAGGAAGATGGGTTCCTTGCGGAAGCGGAGGTCAATGCGGGTGCCCTCGGGCGCGATGACGTACTTGGCGCCAGGGTACGCACCAGGGCCGGCATCAACAAGGCGCTGCAGCCATCCCATGTTCATGGCGGTAACCCGTTCGGGGAAGGTCATGTTGGTGGCCACCTGAAAGGGGACCCCGACTTCCTCGATCGAGATATTGGGGTCGCCGGTGATGACGGTGCGAGCCGAGAAATCGACTCGCTTGCCCATGATGTTGCCGCGGAGACGGCCCTCCTTGCCCTTCAAGCGAGCCGTGATCGAGCGAAGCGGGCGGCCGCTCTTCTGGGTGGCCACCTGCTGGCCCGAGATGCTGTTGTCAAAGTAGGTATTGACATGGTACTGAAGCAGATCCGCAAACTCGGCATAGATCTTCTCCTTCTCCCTCCTGACTCTGGGATCCTTGTACTTGTTGACTTGGTCGTTGGTGCGGATGATGTCGGCCAGCTTGATCGTGAGATCGTCCTGGGAGCTGCCGCCGTCCATCATGACGGACGGGCGAATGCATGGAGGCGGCACAACCAGCACGCTGACGAGAAACCACTCGGGACGAACGACGGCTCCGTGGCGGTCGCTCATGCCCATGCACTCGACATCGGCATCGGCAATCTTGGAGAGGATGGCGTGGGCATCTTCTCCAGTGAGCATCTGGCGGGCTTCCTTGGTGGACTGGACGGCGAGACGGCCATTGTCGTAGCGCACGCTGTAGACATGGAACCCGCAGTGATCGCAGCTGGTCTTGGTCTTGGTGTGCTTCCACAAGATCCCAAAGCGCTCCTTAGGATCGTTCTTGAGCTTGTGCGCGAGAACGCCGTTTTCGGGGGCGGCGACGTCGATGCGGATGCGGAAGCAACGGGAGCACACGATTTCGAGGATTTTCTTGAGGCGATCGATGAATCCGGTGTGGAAGACGGGCGTGGCGAGCTCGATGTGCCCGATGTGACCGCAGCACTGGATCATGTCGCTTTCGCAGGTGGCACATTTGGTCGAGCGATCAGACGTACCCATACGAGGATCGAGCAAACCGCAGGGCTTGGGTTTGCCGTCGGTGCCATACAATTCGGGGCTCGTCACATGGATGACGGAAACGGCCTTGATCTCATCGGGCGAGAGGCTTTCAAAGACGATACTCTTGATTTCCCTGAGGGGAGGGGTGCTTGGGGCGGCGACACGGGCGCTGAACATGCTGGATTTTGCTGATGATGGTGTTATCCGTCAGTGAAAGAAAACTCGGGCGATCGAGCGCACCACATCCCCTACTTATACCTCTGCGAGGCTGCTTGCTGGGGTGGCTGTCAACTCCGCAGGAGCTGTGAAGGTCTGCTTCACGAGGTCAAAGACGTAAATCCCGCCACGAAAGCCAATGTAGATCTTGGACCCTTCACCAGGGGGCATGTGGACACACCGCACCTCCAAATCCACTTTCAATTGGTGGTTGTAGATCACCTTCTTATGCAGCGAGTCGTAGCCCTTGATCGAGTCGCACAGTATACAATACACCACAGTGGAGTGTGTGATGAACCAGCGAGGAGCCGTGGGCAGCTCCACCCGGTAGACCTCTGTCAGGGTCTTGGGGTCAAGCGCAAGGACGGAGGTGTCAGGGAAGCAGGCCTTGAGGAACAGCTGATCATCCGAGCACTTGATGTTATTGGTGCATCCGCAGGAATGGTCGTACTCCACGGCCTTGACTCCGCCATCGTCCTCCTCGTTCCCGTTGTAGCTGTCCTTGATTGCGCGGATCATGCCGGTCTTGAAGACCACCGCCACGACGCCAAAGAGCGGGAATGTGAATATGGATACGATCGGACTCGGGCCGGGAGGGGTGAGGATGCGGCTCTGTTGCCGGCCCTTCATCAAAAAGTCCCGATAGACGCGCAGCATACCGGATTGGAGCCCCACGTAAAGGTCGTCGCCTTGGGAAGAGATGCAGCAGATGTTGCCGTGGCAAAGGATGTTTCGGCGGTGGTGACCGTCCTCCCAAACAGAGAGATGCCCATCGGCGCTGGCGGCAACCACGTGATCACCCAGCTGAACGATACCCACGATCCAGTCCTGGTGGAATTCGCGATATTCACGGGCATTGATGCGCAGGATCGATCCCATGGCCATGTAGAGGTAGCCGCGAAACGTCAGGATGCACTGGATGGGCAACTTGTCGAGGTTATCGGGGAGTCGAGCGAGCGCCATGGAAGGGGAGCATTCGCGCTTCTTTTCAGCGAGATCTGACTCACATTGGCATCCCAAAATAACGACCGTCATGGTGTCGTCCTTGAGGCGGTTTTCTTTGACGGGGAACCGCGAAGCCGTGCGGCTCGGGTACTCAGATTCTTGAATGATCCTGTCAGAATCGGGTATATAGGAGAGATGTTCCATGACATCCACGGCAGTTGGTCTGTGAATTGGATCCAAGTCCCAGCATGGCATGGCGACATCCCACAGCCTTTTGAGATTCTGAGAGGACGTGAGATCAAGAGGATCCTCTAGATGATAGCCATTGTTTAGGTGTCGCGCGAGGCTCTCGGTGTGAATATTCTCGAACGGAACACGTCCCTTGGAGAGCAGCTCATACACAAAGCACCCAAATGCATAGACATCGCCGGGGAAGCTGGCGGTGGGGCCATCTCCAACCAGCAACTCGGGTGCCTGCCAGCGTAACCTCTCTTCGTCTACTTTGGTCTCATGGAATACAAACATGAGCTTGACCTTACCATCTGCATCGATCAGCATGTTTGCGGTGCGAATGTCGCCATGGACGATTTTGCGGGTGTGTAGATACGCAATGGCATTGGCAATGCTGTATACGTAGTGATTGATCTTGTCTTCCTTCCAGTCCAGTGTTTGTAGGTAATTGAGGATGTTGCCATTGGATTTGTATCGGGTCACGATGAAGGGTGGAATGACATCCAGATTTCCGCCAAGGAACATCACAATGTGATCGTGACGCAGCGAGTACCATGTATCGAGCCACTCCTGCACGGCACTGGGATCCCGGTCGGCCATGTTGCGCATGTACTTGATCACGACCTGCGCCTTGCCCACCCATACACCGCGATAGATATCGGAATACTCGGTAGCATAGAGCGGCTTGTTGTCCCGCATGATTTCGTTTGTTTCGATGAACCAAGGAGGATGGTTGATCACATCGGACTGGATGCTGCTGTTCTTTTCGCGGATGAGATTGAGGATTTTTTGACCCACCTCACGGAAGAGATGCTGCTGGTGCGTCACATGAGACGATGCCACAGAAGTAGCATCGGCCTCGTGTTCGTTGGACCTGTGTGTTGCCACCGTATACGGCGGTGGACTCGTCTTTCTTGACAGCGTTTCAGACACCATGTAGTTGTATGCTCGCTGATACTCCTGTTCGTTCACGGCTGGGATGTACTCACCGAGCTGCTTGTCCTGTGACTGGATGAAGTGGTTCAGCTGGCGCTTGAGCTCCTTCATGTCGCTTTCGATCACCTTCTGGTCTTGGTGGAGATCGACGGTATATGCGAGCTGCAGGTCCTGTGTGATGATGCTGATGCGGTTGTTGAAGTCAATGATGCAGTCGTGGATGCGGCTAGCAAAGAGGAAGTGGTAGAAGATGTTGCGACTTACCAAGTCGAGAATGAAGAGCTTGATCTCCATCAGCAGATTCTCGGTCTCGATTACCTTTTGACGAATATGATCTCGTAGCTCTCTCTTGCACTCGTCGTTGAGGGACATCCACAGCCCGCGTGCTCGAGTGCCCAGCTGGCGACAAATCAGAGTATTGTAACGCACTTGCTGTATAATCTGGTAAATCTGAACCAGAATCTTGAGGGCAGTATCCAGTCCGGGTACTGAAGGGACCAGATCTGTGATCGAAGATGCATCCATCGTTTGTGTATTCAATTTGTGCCAAATGTGTGGATACCGATACAACAGGATAATATTCATTTTCCACCCCCCATCTCCATGGCACACGACGACGCATTGTTCAAGCGCGATACATGATCGAGTTGCCGAGGCAATCGAGAGGGAAGAATCCCTCCTTGGAGTCGTCCAAACGCATGCCATAGCACCAGCGGTCGGTATACACCGCCAAAACCCTCACACAAGCACCGGGGGCAAGAGACAACTCGTCGCTCTCTCGAGCGTGGTAGCCGCGAAGGACCACCACCTTGCCGATCTTGGAGGGGTTGTCAGAGTCGAAGAAAGATGTGGTAGCCGGGGCAGATGAGCCGATTTCGGGCTCAAGCGATTCCATGATCATGGCTTGATCGTTCTGTGGTCTGGTACTTATGGTATAAAATAACACGATACCAACCAACCCAAAGACCAACAGCAAACCGGCCACAATCAAGACAATGGCAAGAGTCGACAACACGAGACCGTCGCCCGATGGAGTGGTAGACGGAAAAAGCGTCTGGGTGACCTGGATCTGCAGCTGGTCGATGGAGGCATTGAGACCCTTGTCATCCTGGTAATTCTTGATGGCACCGATCAACCAGGACGACAGCGCAGCAGAGAGCTGCACGTAATACACAGTCATGTAGGGACGCTGGATACTGGTGTTGAGCGCAGCCACGAAGGAGTCGTTGGTCACGGCCGGGGGTGGGATGTACCCAAGCAACTGGCCTCGGTGCAAGGTGACGTTGGGGGAGACAATGTAGTCGAGGAGGTTGCTGAGCACGGAGGTGTTGGCAAAGGTAGCGTGCTTGTTGATCCCCATGTACTGCCCACCCATTACCGAGTATTCGCCGGGGAGGCTCTCGACGACAAAGCTTAGACCCGAGCGGTTGTAGTAGATGGTCGACAACCAGCCACGGCTGTACAGCAACGTGGTGCTCGAGTTGAATGCAGCCAAGCTCTGTGCCATCGTCAAGGACAGCGACAGCGGATCCATCGCGTTCGACTGCATCCATTGGGCCATGTACTTGGCCGCGAGGAAGATACCGTCGCGATTAAGGACGCCGGACTGGAGATCCACAACGCCGTGCCCGGTGAAATAGGCCGCCATCTCGACGAGCAGAGACACACCACCCTCGGCATTAAGTCCTGTGATGAAACAGGGCTTCTGACCGATGGTGCTACAGATGCTCTCGAGATCCTCCCAGCGGGTCAAGCGAGGGCTCTGTGTGGTTCCGCCGGCGGTGCTGATATTGGGACGATGGTAGAGAACACCATAGTCCAGGCTGGCTGGAGTGGATCGGGCGATGAACTGTGCAAGGCTCACAGTCCACACCATGTCGAGATAAGTGATATCAAAGAACTGGTTTTGGTTGGTCACAAGACCGTCGTAGACGACTTGGTAGATATTAGCCGCCTCTCCGTTGTAGGTGCTGAGGACGGTCGAGAAGATGCCAATGTTGCTGACGATACTCTCGTAGCCGGCAAAGACAGATGTCCAGAAAGCCTGCTCGGGCTGCAAGACATCGTCGCCGCGACTGCGGATAAATACGTTAACGTACTGGGTAGAGTTGACCATGATACAGGGAAACGCACTCTGGTCTGGACCGATGTTTTCTTCAGTCCGCTCTTATCCGTATCGAAGTCCTTAGTGTGATTTTTTTCGAGCCGAAAATGCAGCAATCGATATGCTAGCCCCCGAACAACGCGACTTCCTGTGCAAGCCTCTGATTTCCAAGATCACTTCTCGGATCTACATGGGGAACCTGGGAGGTGCCAGAGATTTCGAAGGCTTACTAAAAAGGGGTATTACGACGATCGTTAACTGCACCAAGAGTGAAAAGAACATGTTCTTCCCGGGAGCGTTCGACTACATACACATACCCGTAGGCGACAGCCAGCGGCGCGTCGACCAGGACATCATGAAGTATGGCGTCTACGAGCTGATTCAGTACTTTTGCGAGAACCCAAAGTCTGTATTATTTGTTCACTGTGCCGAAGGGATCAGTCGCTCCGCCACAGTCGTGCTGATGCTGCTCGCAGAATTCTATGTCTGCGGGCGAATGGATGCACTGCGTTTCCTTCAAAGCAAGCGATCATGTGTGTTCTTCAACGCCACACAATTCAATTTCCTCCCCGTGATCAACTCACCGGATTTCCCGGTCTTCAACAAGCGGTGCCTCAAGGCCAATGAGCCACTGACACCTTACTGATCAGCCGAGAACCATCGTTGGTTGGAGACTCGGGAGCGATCGGATTCCTCGAAATACAGTCAAACCAGAAAGAAACGGGACAGTCACTTCCTGGCATCAGCGACACAGGTCTGCTGATCCGTAGACCCCAGTGGGCAGGTCGTGCGATTGTTTCCCGTCCTGGTTGGCAATCTCTTTGTTTTGGGTGGGTCCGGAAGCACAGTCTTGAATACACTCGGCCGATCTCCTGTGGCGATGTTCGACTGGCATACCGAGATCATGTTCCTGGCTGCATTGATGTCTCGATCCCACAGCGTATGGCAGCTTGTACAGCTCCGTACAAAGTGTGGTTTCTCGATATCAAGATGCTCGACCTTCTCGAGTCGCTTGGCTTCCCGACAATGTGAGCACACCTGGGATGTGTTGAACTCATTCACCGAGCACACATGGATCTTGGAGACGGCTCGGTCTGGTGGGCGTCTCTGGTGGTGGTGGAACTGCTCAAAGTACTTGGCAAACCTGAGTCTCCTGGGACTGGAGGCATATCCCTTCCCCTGTTTCCAGGATGCATTCCCAAAGGCAATCACCACTTCGGTCTCCCTTGCTGCCTGGTCAATGACTTGCTTGCACATCTCGTGGACGGTGCGCTGTCGCTTGCTGTGGAGATCGAGTCGCTTGAATCGCCGCCGCCGGGTCAGGCTGAAGTACAGCTGTTTGTCCAGCATGTCTCCATCGAACACATGGCGAATGTATCGCAGGAAGGAAGCCAACCCAGGGATCTTGGGACTTGGTGTGGTGCTCATCCATTCCTGCAGACCAAGGGCCTTGTGGGTGCTCTGGATCCACTTGGTCGCCTGACTGGTGCCAGTTCGATGCTGGTACTCCTTGTTGGAGAACGACACGATCTTCTCGTTGGCACGCTGTGCCTTGGTCACCTTGACACCGTCTTGCTCCTGGATGGATGGTTGACCGGGTGCTCGATTGACAGCGGTGAAGATCGATCCCACTCCAGGGTCGATCCCGATCCATGTGGTCCGAGAGTCGTCGATGGGACCGACCCCGGACTGGATCTTCTGCTCGGGAGTGAGTGTGTTCACCTTGGTCTTGGGTACCGGCTTGGCATCGGGGCCCTTCTTCTCCAGGATCTTATATCTGAGTGTGGTGATCGAGCACCCGACCCCATCGGTGCTGATCTCGCAACCAAAGAGCTGCTTCCCCTCTTTCCTGACACCAAAGAGTCTCGATTCCAGCTTGAAGTTGTTTCGCCAGAAGATCTCTTGTTTTGTGGTGCCATTGACCTTGGTCTTCAGGTCGTCCCACTTGAGCCCAGTGCCAGTCTGAGATCCAAGAATTTGATACATAGCTTTGGTATCGAGCTTGACATACTTTGCTCTGGCATCGCAGAGCGGGACCAAGGTGCACTGTGCTCGAGGGATGTTGAGGCGCTTCTTGGTCTGGGCAAGCCGGTCGGTGAGGCGCTTGATCCGCTTCATGTTCACAGCGATCTTCTTGTCCACCTCCTCGTGCTGGGTATGGAGTGCGTTGTATTGATCCGACTGCCTACGTTCGATAGCGCGACACATCTCCTCATTCAGTCGTCCACGATCTTCTTTCAGATCTTCGGTTCCCCTCACGAGCCTGGGGATGATTCTGTTTCGAATGGTCGCCACGAACAGTGTCTCCTTTCGGTGGGTCAGGCGAGAGACTTCACTGGCCAATACTGGTACGACTTTGTACAGGCTCTGGTGGCTTGTGTAGCGAAAGCTGTAGAGCTGCTCGGCATGGTGTGTGAAGGATTTCCTCAGATCAACGAGGAGTGTATCGGAGAGGGGATTCTCCATCAGCTTCATGCACTCGTCAACGTGTGTATGCCTTTTCACACCCTTGGGGGCAACCAGTACCAGATTGCAGAATCGACGGAGGAGAGACCAATACCGATCGAGAATGTGTGTCTCGCAGTTGACTGCATAGGTTTTGATGGCCAGATCTATGACTTGGGACCCAGTACCCTTTGGAAGGGATACTGGAGGTAGGACACACGAATCGCTCCATGTACTTCGATACAGTTCATATGTGTCGAGGAGATGCCTGTCATCTTCTGGGGTGTTCGTCCTGGCACCCACTGTTCCTCTCTGCACCATGTTGAAGCACTTTCGAACGAACGAAGGATCGCTCGACGACACAGTGGGGATGGTGATGCCCTCCTCCAAGCATCGCCTGAGATGCAGCTCCAGGAGCCGAGATGCTTCGTACTGCACGTGTGTCATGGCCCGGACAGTCTCCTCGATCTTGTCGTGCAAGGCGCCGTTCTTGATGATGGCGTCAAGAGTGCACTTGATGATCGAGTACTCGGCCTTGGCATACTCGTTTGGTTCACAGGCAGGCTCAGTAGAGCTCCAGAGAGGTTTGTTCGCTGAACATTTGGAGCTGTTGCTTCTCCCATGACCCTCCTGTTTGCAGGTCGGGCAGATCAGGACCTTGGGTGCAGGCATCTCGACCACGAGGGCCGGAACAGCGATGTCTTCACTGGACTCGTCTGGAGGGGGTGCTTGGCAAACGGCCCCAAAGACAGACGCTGAGTCAGAAGGGGGGGCCAACTCGGTTCGGGCCTTGCACTTCTTGGTGAAGGGCTTGACATGGTTGGTCAGACCACAGGCACGACACGATTTGATGACTAGTTTCTTGGCAGCATGTTCGTCGCGGGGCTGCCCAGGATCTGGATTTGGGTCGGGAGGAGATTTTTTCTTGCGGGGAGGCATCTGTCGCGATTTCGACACCCCGTTGATTCTACCCATAGGCAAGAAAAAACCAAGGGTGAATTTGACGCACTTTTTCGATGGTATGATTCACGCCCAGAAACGCATCGCGCGCTCAATCAGCCGTGGGAAGACATCTGGAAGCACCCTCCGCACGGCGGACTCGAACAGGGTCACCATCCCGATCCTGAACCCCTCGGAGGCATTCAGCGTTGCTGCCTTCCTGTACTGATGCTTCACAATCCCAAAGAAGTTCTCGATGGGATTGAAGTCGGGCGAGGCAGGTGGGGTGAAGATCACTGACCATCCTCGGCGCTCGATGCAGTCCAGGACAGCCCTTGTCTTGTGCATGCTGACATTGTCCATCACAATCACAGAGTCGTCTGGGAAGCTCGCTCGCTCAAAGAACTCGACCATCGAGTGTGTCTTGAATGATGTGGGGATGTACATGCGATGCAGCACACCAGAGTGGTTGATGGCAAATGCAGCCGAGACAGACTTGTGCTTCATGTGATTGCGCTGGCGAAGCGGAGCACCCTTCGGTGAGTATCCGTAGAGAGGGAAAATGGATCTCCTGATCCCTGTCTCGTCGACAAAAACCAATCGTCGTGGGTCGATGGAGCGGACCTGGTCCCTGAACTGTGCCACTCGCTCATCCAGTCGCTTGGACTTGTAGAGGTGTGTTGCCCTCTTGTGTGAGAGACCTGCTCGCTGGATGGCAGTGTGGCAGAGTGAGAGTGATACTTTCCTCTGGAGGATGGACTCGAGCTTGCATCGCAACACAGGACCAGTCTGGAACGGGTCCTGTTCAATCAGGGTGCGAATGACTGGACATGCCTGCTCGAAGAAAGTGGATCTGCGAGCTGGGACCCGGGATGGGTCATCCAGCTTGCATCCTCGGTGCCATCGATGGATGGTGCTCTTGGATACACTGAATATGGAGGCGACCTTACGCAGGCTATGGATGAGATCGTAGCATCGCAATGCGGCGGTGCGAAAGTCGGATGTGTGGCGAATGGTCATGGTCAGCGCGCGATGGTTTTGGGTAACAAAATATTCGATCAATGGTCAAAATCCCGGGTGTCCCGTTTTTTATTGGATTGGCTGTAGTGTCCACTGGGGAATTGCTTCTGCTGCACAGCATGGGTATCATTGTACTGCTGCTGACCCTGTTGGATCTGGCTGTGGCGTTGTGAGTTGTGCTTCTGGGCGTGGAGGGCACCGGGAGGGAAGTAGTACTTGAAAACTTTGTCGTGTGTTCGGTATGGATGGCTGGGTTGGTGCTGACTGCGCTGCATCTGGGCATTGGCCTGCACACCGTCCTTGACGTGTGACGTCCAGGACTTGTACGGCCCCAGGGTCGATGCGATGCTCTGGAGGGCCTGCTTGTACTGCTCGTTGCTGTGGGCACCGGTCATGGAATAGAGGGCGCTGTCAATCTCACAAGCGGGTTCGTAGTTGGTCAACCAGCGGCCATCGCGGTAAATGGGGAGATGCGGAGTGGCGCTCATGATTAAGGCGGGGTCGGTTTGTGTTTGGCTTTGGACGAGATTTTTTTTGCGTACCACAGCGCTTGCAGATAAGCATCGGCGAGATCGTCCTTCTTGGCTGTGTTCTGGAAGGACCACAGCCACTTTTCATCCTCCTGGGTTTCTTCCAGAGCCTTGAGGGCCTGCTGGACGGCACACGCCTTGCGCTGCGAATACGTCACAAGGTCTTCCTTGGGTACACCCAGATCCTTGAATTTGCTCCTGGCGGCGGTGATGACGAGCTGTGGCTCTTTCGAGTGAGCCCCATAGCGGTGCACAAAGTAGCTCATCAGGAAATGGTTGATAGCGCAGGTCTTGTTGTTGCTGGCGGGCTGGGACTCGAGGACGATATGGGTCAGGGGAGGTGTGTCAGCGAGCTCCAGGTCCAGCAAATGTTTCAGATTCGAGCATACCCCAACGGGGTCCCAAGTGCGGCCGGAGCACACATCCAGCTTGCGCCAGCTAAAGATCTTGCGGGTCGTGGGGTGCAGCGTGCACAGTGCGAGATTGCGCAAGCCAGCGTCGATGGAGAGAATCATGTCGATCACGGGGTACAGGTACTTACAGGACCCGTGATAAAAAAGTCAATCGCCAATCCCTCCATCATTCACTGGACTCGCTGTCGTCCTTGATTCCGGCGGCCTCACGAGCGCGGATGCGGGTCGTCGATCGCGCCTTCTTGACAATGTAATCGTCTTCCTTCCAGTCACTGGTGAGAGGATAGGCATCGCCGTTGATGACGATCAAAGGGGGGTCGATATCGTCAAACATCACCTGCAGAGCCTGCTCCATGTGCAACGGGTCATGCTCCAGGTTCACCACCCTATACGGGATCTCATTGTGATGCAGCCACTGGCGAGCCTCGTCGGCCTCAAAGTCATGCACATGTGCAAACAGAACCACCTTCATTTTGCTGGTCAGCTTGTCAAAGGCCTTCTCGGCGACCTTCATCACGGTGTCGTAATCCTTGGTGCCCTCGACGACTCGGCGGAGCCGGTGGTTGCTGTTGTCAGAGATGGCACCACCCGAGCTCGCGGCGGCACTGGTCTTTTTGGTGAGCTTGGAGACAGAGAGCCGATTCCCGCCGCTGACGTGATCCGTGACGATCGAGGGACGGACGACGCAGATCTCCTCTCCATCGGCAATGTCCTTTGTGGCGTAGAGGATGCACGCGGTCGAGTAAGATGACACGGTGTACTCGGCATTGGCCTTGCTGGTGCTGTCGGTGAGCCTGGGCAAGAAATCGACAGAGAAGTTGTCATGGTCGTGGGTGTAAGTCCATTCGCCCCGGTAAGGGCAATCGAACGAGTGACCAAGTCTCTGCATCAGGGCCGCACCATCGGCGGTCAAAATGTACTCACCCTTCTTGAAGACCCGTTTCGTGTCCTTGTCGCTCTCGGTAGCGGCGGCGTAGAGACGCATGGAGTCGGGGGATTTGCCATCTGCGCGCAAATGCAAAACGCTCTTCAGATGATCGCTGCAAAAGGACGCCCCGTGAATCGCATCTTCGTCACAGAAGGTACCGTCCTCGAAGAGGATCTGACATGCGTAGTCGGGCCATCCGTCCTCATTCGTTGAAGCCCCACCCGGGCGGCGTTTGGAGGATGAATGTCTCTTGGGCATGATCGCTGCTCGGCACTGTGCTGAAGTATTTGATGGAAAAAAAATCGGAAAAGTGCGGGATGGCATCATCAGCAAGCCTCGAGAGACTCGGGGCAAGTCGCCCCAGCCAGCAGAGCCCCATGGAAGGTGTGTCGAGAGCAGATCACTCACACCCAGCGACGAGTCTGCGGAATATGAGGCAGCCAGTGCAATGCCAGCCAGTACGTGTACAACCCGCTCCATACCTGATGCACAGCTGATCCACTCTAATACACAGCACCGACACAACCACACCCTCACTCGATAACATCACTTCTTGAGAACAAATGAAGACACAAATACCACTCACTCCATGCAGAATTCTAATGCACAACCCCGACACACCCACTCCATGAATCTGGAAATCTAATGCACGAGAGCGTACAACTCACGAATCATGGAGTGGTAGAAATGACCGGTTGAGGTCGGTGGAAACGGGTGAGGACATCCCGATGGAGTGGGGTGTTTGCTGGGCGAAGAACTTTTCCTCTCCATGATCTCAGTGTGGCCATTTTTCTCGGTGGAAACGGGTGAGAGGGTGGTGAACGATGGAGTGCCGGTCGTTCCCCGGACCTTTGTCCCAACAAAACGCAAATGCAAATTTTTCAATTTTTTCAAATTCACTTTTTTTTTCAAAATGGTCTGAAATCTTGAATTTGTTAGTGTTCTCACCCGTTTTCACCGATACCCTCTCCATGAAAAAAAGGGGGGCTTCCCGTCTCCACCGAGACATTTTGGCACTCGACGAGATCACTCCATACATTCATGAAATCAAAAGAACTGAATATACATTTCCTCTCCATAACCAAACAAAAATATCATCATGGTGTGGGGCATGTGTGCCGTGGCAATGAGTGATGGAGTGGTGTCATGGAGGGGGCACGGTGACCGGTGGAGACCGGTAGTGGCACTTGCGCACTCCATATTCCAATGGACACCCCACAGGATGGCATCACCCCACGACTCTCACTTTCTCTTGGTTGTCTTTGGCTTCGACTTTGGCTGTGTCTTTGGTACTCTCACGCTCTTCGCGACCTCGTGCAAGTGACCCCAGGTTCCGGGGAATGGTGGGTTGTACTGAGGCAGGAGCTTCATGGTCGCTCGCTGCACACCCATTGCGCAGCAGCCTGCATCGGTGGAGAAAGCCCTGGGGGTTTTCGTGATGACTCTCAAACGTCTGATGAGCATCCCGAGCAGCGCCATCCCCCAATCGCTGCTGTCGACACTCTCCCCGATGTCGTCGGGCAGGTAGATCTGGTTGGTGCCAGGCTCTGCCACCTGCATTTCCGGGACGACCACACGATCCAAATGAATGACAGCGACCCTTCGATACGCCGTGACCATGTCGCCAGTGACATCAATGGTCAATGGGCCATCACCGTCGACGGACACAATGGTCTTGTACTTTTCCATGCGCATCTCGACAATGGGCCTTAGGGGTTCGCGTCGACAAATGCGATCGCACGTGGCCAGCTTGAGAAGGGTACCCTCTCCGATCGTCCATTTGCTCTTGAAGCCCACGCCGATGGCCAGTGCGGCGTGTGATTTCGCAATCCCATTGAAGAGTGGGGTGACGTCCTCGCTTCCGGTCTGCTTCGTGTGGCGCAGCAGCTCACCCGGGAAGGACATCGCCATGTCCCCCAGTGCGTTCTTGATGAGACGCAAGAGCAGGTGCTTGCCGCTGGTCTTTTCGTGGCCGGCGATGAAGAGAACGAACTTGTCTGGCTTGTCGATGAAATTGATGCACAGGGAGAGGAAATCGAGAAGGTACTCCACCGTCTCGGTGTCGTTGTTCATGATGGTCGAGAGGAACTCCATCACATCGAGATCGGTGCGACTGGAGAGCACGAGGTCGTGGGAAAAGTCGTATGGCAACGTGACACAAAAGCCATCACTGGGCTTTGGATATCTGGACACCAAGTTGGTGAGATCCAGTGTCGCTTTGTTTTTGAAGAGTGCCACCGTCGACGCACGCTCGTGGTGTTTGTCGAACCAGTCAGCGACGTCGGTGTCGTGCATGCAGCCCTTCAGCCATGTAACACAGTGTCCAGCCAGAGCGTGCACCGATTCGATGGATTTGGAGGTGGCCTTGCATGCATCGGGTGCATGAGCCAGGGTACCCAGGCGACGGCGGTACTGCTCCAGGAGCAAGCGAGCGAAACGCTGGAAGCCCCCCTTTGGATCGGTAAGGAGTGCCACGAACGCCTCTTTGTGTGGAGCCTTCTTCCAGAGACCATCGCAAAAGTACCAGAGCTTTCCATCGCGCTGGTCACGGTGGGGCTCGTAGATCACAGGCTCCGACTCGATCTTCATGAGCATACGCGGAATCGAAAGGGGGTCGTAGCCCAACACGACGGACTTGATCATGTCGTTCACGTTGGGGGTGGGGTGGACAACGACACCATCAGCAAGCACAATATGCAAGTCGATCGTTGTGTGCATGATGAGAACACTGAGACAGGGCCGAGACAAAAAACCAGGCGGATCCAGCGCACATGCTCGGCATGGAGTGTGCAAGTGCCACTACCGGTCTCCACCGAGAATCCCGGCCTCACCATGCCACCACTCCATCACTCATTGCCACGGCACACATGCCCCACTCCATGATGATATTTTTGTTTGGTTATGGAGAGGAAATGTATATTCAGTTCTTTTGATTTCATGAATGTATGGAGTGATCTCGTCGAGTGCCAAAATGTCTCGGTGGAGACGGGAAGCCCCCCTTTTTTTCATGGAGAGGGTATCGGTGAAAACGGGTGAGAACACTAACAAATTCAAGATTTCAGACCATTTTGAAAAAAAAAGTGAATTTGAAAAAATTGAAAAATTTGCATTTGCGTTTTGTTGGGACAAAGGTCCGGGGAACGACCGGCACTCCATCGTTCACCACCCTCTCACCCGTTTCCACCGAGAAAAATGGCCACACTGAGATCATGGAGAGGAAAAGTTCTTCGCCCAGCAAACACCCCACTCCATCGGGATTTCCTCACCCGTTTCCACCGATGTGTGCATGGGGTGCACATCTCACTCCATCGGAATATCGGCCTGTTGATCCACCTTGCGAGGAACGAGTCCTTCGATGTACGCCTTGGTTTTGGACTTGGCATTGAACTTGTCGAAAGGGCGGAAGAAGGTAGACGTGCTGAAGAAGGGTGCACATATCTTCCCCAATTCCTTGTGCTCTGCAATCGATTGCGATCTGGATGCGAGATTGTCGATGTGCTTCAGTGCAATCTTGTCAGCGACCTTGGGATAGAGCTCGGCGAACTTTGAGTGAACCCATGCAACGAAGTGGCGATACAGAATGGTTTTTTCGATCATGCCCTTTCTTCCCGTGATGTCGATTTCGTACTGGCTCTCCAGGAACACCTTGACGATATCCAGGCTCTGGGTGTAGTGCTCGGTGGCCAATGTGATGGCGAGAGGCCATGAAGAAGGGCTCGAGAGCTTGTTGCGTGGGTCGGACGCCTTGGGGAATCGTTCGATGAGGAGGCCGAGGAGTGCGTAGCGCCAGGCAGTGGAGTTGACTTTGTTGACGATCTCGGGGTCCACCGGGAGTTCAAATGGGAAGATTTGATCGACCTCTGGATTCTTCTTGACGATCTTCATGGGGAACTCAACGACGACGATACGACGCAGTGTACCGTGAGCACCGCCACCGCTCCTGGTTGCCCCAGAGATCTGAGGGAAGCTATTGAGAGAGATGATGGCTTTGAAGCGAGGCACCCATGATGCTGAGTGATGATACATTTCTCGAATCTGGAGGACGTCATTGCTGGTGATTTGCTTCAGGACCTTCTCTTGCAGCGTCTCGCCGTCCTGGATCTCGTTGGCGATTGCACAGCGAGCCCTCAGCAGCCCAATGAACTGGTGTGTCACTTCGTTGGTGCTCTTGGGCTTCTCGGTCAGGATGTCTGCATTGAATGCGCAGCAGAACTCGCGGCCAAAGGTATTCTGAAGCAGCTCCAGGAGCAGACTCTTGCCATTCTCTCCATCACCAATGACAAACAGAGCCATCTCTCCGTTTTTGGCGCAGGACAGGCAAAGCGAGAAGTAGAGCAGGAGATACTCGACGACATCAGCATCCTGGTTTTGCAGGTCAAGGAGGTATTTGTACACTTCCTGTTTCTTCTCTGCATTGTGGATAGCGGCTGCGTTGTATGGAAGCTTGAGACTGGTGGAGAACATGTCGTGCTTGGTAGCCTTGTGAGTAGCACCGCTGATCAGGTCGAGGATCGTGCCATCCTCGAAGAGTACAGTGGTAGTGGAGTGATCGAGCTTGTCCCAGAATTCATCGAACTTTTGACTGAAGAGGCTGGCGATCATGCGCTGGAGCGGGGTGTTTTGCACACCGTCCCCCACTTTGTTGATGTACTTTTGGAGCTTTGTGGCCATAAACGGGGCGTGCTCCAGGTGGGGGGAATTCTCGTAAAAGTCAATGGCCCTCATGAAGGCCTTATTGAAGACGCTATTCCTGTCGGGCGTGACATTGAGGATGAAGATCTCGATCGTGTTGGAGCGCCATTTGGGAAAGGCGAACGTGAAGGCCTCTGGGCTCTTGCAATCGCGAACGTAGATGTCGTCGCTCATGATCGAGTACAAGAACTCGGCCACGTACTTTGGCTTGCATCCCAGGGCCTGGATGAAGGCAGCGTTGATATTCGCGTCGGTGAACACGACAAGATCGTCACTGAGATATCGCTCACCAATTCTGAGGTCGATACCATCGTCGTCGGCAGGCGAAGTGATGGTGATGTTGTTGAAGTTGACCAACCCGTTGTTCTGGAGCTGAAGGCTGAACCCCATCCCGGCAAAGGCGGTGCGGTCGGGGAACCTCTGGCGGACTTTGTCGAGAGCAGCCCCGAGCATCATGTTCTTGCTCTGAGCCACGATAGGGTAGGGAGGATTGAATTTCTGGCAAGTCTCGCATTGTTCACGGATGAGGGCGAGCGCATATACACCCGAGATTCCACCACCCTCGATATCAGCCCGGGTGGTACCACCGCAGTGACGACAGGAGGACGAAATATCAGCGTGGGCACCGGAAGGCGAGAGACGGGGGTTGTGAATGGTCTCGCGGGGCTTGCCAAAGTTCTCGTCGATCAGGGTGATGATTTCTTCAGCGATCACCTCATGAGATGCGACTCTCTGCACGATTCCAGAGAGCTGGTCGTCTTCGTTGATGGATGCCCGGATCCAGGCATCAACGGTGGTTCTGTGTTCGGGTTTGAGAGCGACTGCGACGGGGGAGTGGCATGCAGCGACACCATCCCCATCATCGAAAGAACGAATGGTGACGGATCCATCCGAGTACTTGACCCCGGCAACTTTGGGGGAGGCAAAGGGCTCGCGGCAATCCTGGTCGGGGCATGCACCAAAGGATGCATTGAAAAGCAGAGATGAGTGCTGGAAGCGAATGTCGCGGATGGTTTGGAAATGGGCACCGACGAATCCCTGGAAGATGGGCTTGAGTTTGTCGCCTGCTGCGGTCAGCAACGAATGATCAATGACAACGACATCCTCCATATACACAGGAACCGAGGACGATGTCTGAAGGGGGGCGACGACTTTTTTTGCCAGAGTCGAAGTCTCGGATGCGGTGGCTGCACTGAACTTGCGCTTCAGATTCTTCTGGCTCAGCTGTGATTTCAAAAAATCACGAAGCACCTTGGGGACCTTGGTGAGCTTGACGGGCTTGTAGCGCTTCCCCTTGCACGAGTCGACATCCCAGCACATGCGAGCAGCACCCTCGGCATCGAAGCGGATGTACTGCGTGTTACTGGAGCGCTTGTGCTGATCGAGCTTGAAGAAGCAGAGGCGATGAGAAAGGGGGATATACAGGAAGGGGTTGACCGGGTTGCGGTAGATCTTGGCCGCATCGACTCTGATCTGGTCGCGCTCCTGCACATCAAAGTTGTCGAAGACGAACTCGACCAGATCGCCGTGAAGGTCGGCTGGGATATCGACGGGTGCGCTGGATGCGCAGTCGCCGTCGACACTGATATCATCGCCGTCACCAGCGAGATCGACAGGGACAGAGTCGCTGCCATCGGTTCCGAGACGGATGGAGAATGCGTTGAGGTCGGCAACGGTGAAGGCGGCACCGGGACGTCTGACCCATTGGTGATCAGCGTAGTCCCATTGGGCAATGTGGTAATGCTCGTTGAAGCTGGTGTCGGACTCCTTGCGCTGCTTCCAGGAATGCAACATACGCAGACCCGAACGATAGACGCTCGAGTCAAAGAAGGTGTCGGGGACAGAGGAAGGAGCACCAGCCTTGAGGCGATCGATCACGTGCTTGGCATTGTCGGGAGTGATCTGCAGATTGGGCCAATGGAAATGGCAGCCCGCGATCTTCGAGCCATCGTGGGTGGTGCGCATGGTGACGATGGGGGCGTCGTTGATGGTGCTGCTGACATGGTCATACATGGCCTTGTAGAGACCATGGGCACCATCGGCATGCTGGGATGCAAGCTGGCTGCCATCGAGATCCATGAAGAAATTGAAGAGAGCGCTGGTGCGCTCGATCATGGAGACACGGTAGCCCTGCAAGTACTTGGCGAGGTACTGGCGATGGAAGCGGTCGAGACCGGGCTCGGGAATGTGGTGGGTCAGCCTGCCAGGAATGAAGGGTGCCCCATGGGTCTGGGGGAGCTCGCTGTTGCTGCGTTTGTACTCGGGAAAGTTGAAGGTGTCGCCGGGACGGGCAAACTCGACAAACTCGAGGTCCGTTGCGCTCCTCGATCGAGTGGACGACCCAAGGGCGATCGGGAACTCGCCATCGAGATCGGCCTGGAGCGGGACACACACGCGGACGACAAAGTGATCGGAGAGGCGCTGAGCGAACTTGGCCAGATCAGTGGTGCTCACACAGGCAGAGCGAACGATCACAAGACCGGAGACATCGAGATGCTCGACTTGGTGGAACGGAAAGAGCTGCTGGACCGCATCGACACCGGCGGAATCGAAGGTCTGGAAGACGGGACGAACGGTCTGGCTGAGAGGGGCTGGCATTGGTTCGGGTGCACTGCGGGATGCGAGGGCAAGGGAATGCCTGAGGGAACTGGGGATGTGCAAGACTTTTGTGTGGCCCCGGACAGCGCAGTAGTGGAGTATGCCGCCAAATCGTCCCTGTCGTCCAGGGACTTGGTTCCCTGGTGTGGCGAAGCAGCGCTGCAATCGCACCATGCCCGAGGCTGTGTGTGGCAGTGTATGTGGCCCGGGTGTAGAATGTGAGTCGCTTGTGTTGAGCATCAGTGTGAGTGGACATGCCTGCGATTTCGCAGTAACGGTTTTGAAACCATGGAGATCATCCCCCCGTCCTGGTCGCCAAACACCACCATGACCCATGTCCATTGTCGACGAGTGGCGCAGCGCGAATGTATTCATGACTGTGTCGACAAACAAAACAATACACCACTCATTCAGCCACGCTCAGCCTTGACCTTGGTGCCCTTGGAGGCCTTGGGTGCGGGAGTGAAGGAGTGACGCTCTCTGGGGGAGCGTTCACTCATGACGCCAGCAATGATCTTTGGGGTGCAGAGAAGCCAGTTGAGAACATTGACGCGATTGAGAGCGAGAAAGACAGGACTGGGTGCTGCGGGTCCGAGGCTCACCTTGCTGACGGCATCCGTATCGATGGCCTCGCCTCTGTCCGAGACAGACATGAGTGCACTCACGATCCTGGCGAGTTCCTCGGCCTTCTTGGCATCGGCGGCCTTCTGCTCGGGGGAGACAAAAGCAGGTTCGTCGTGATCCTCGGCATCCCAAAAGGCCTCGGGGGCGCGGGTAGTGCGCTTCATATGGGTGCGACGAGGAGTCGATGGTCCGGGCTCGTTGTCCGAGTCGGACTCGTCGAATGCGGCGGGCTTGCGATCCACCTGCATCACCTCCAGATAGGAGCGCGTGGGATACCGGTCGTGCCACTCACAAACATTGCGACCATGAAGCGACTTGCACGAACAGCGGATCTTCAAGTCGGACTTCTTGGTCATGTGGGTGCAGCGACCCACATAGTCCGCTTCGGGGAAGCGGCGGTGATGGAAGCACCCGTCAAAGCCCTCCATGCAGGACTTGGAGCACTGCAGAGTGTAACCCGACATGCCGGTGGCATAGGGGCATCGATGGTTGTAGCCAGGCTTGGTACAATGCACGTTGCATTTGAGGCCGGTCTGGACAGCGCGGCCGGGGCAGCGAGTGCCATCTTCGAGGACTTCAGCGCAACGGAGGGAGCGCAGAGGGACAGCGGAAGAGGCGGAAGGAGTAGACATGTCTGTATCTGAATAGAAAGTGGGTGTGTCAGTGACTGGGATCATGTCAGCATCCTACAGTGTGCGTGGGAGAGCACGAACCTGGAGTAAGTCGTAGAGCGTAGTCGCTTGTAGAGAGGTAGGTCGTAGTCGAGTAGAGACTGGTGGGGATGAGAACTTCGATGCGGGAGACGATGGCCTATTTATCATCGGCCAGCCAGATACCCTCCGTGCGCCTCGGAGTATGTGGTCTCCACCCAAATCAAATCACATCAAGGAGAAAAAACCCAACGGCAAGGAAAAAAAGCAAGTACCCTCTCGAGTGGTGCATTGGACGACAAGCCAGGGACACTCGAAGGAGCCGCATGCGTCATGCGGACTACCCCAAACGGCATGGTATGTGTTTGTCGTCGCCAGAGAACAAGATCCGCAGAAAATCATGCTGCGCCGCATCCTCCCGAGTGGTGTGATGGGAGACAAGAACGGGACACTCGAAGGAGTCGCATGCATCATGCTGACCACACCAAACGGATCAAATGAAGGTGATTGGCATTCAGGATGTCAAAGCCTATCTTTTTTTCGCATCATACGATCCTCGCTGGGGCGCCCATCAAGGAGAATGCCTTGCTATCGATTTTGAAACAAACCCCAGCCAATCGACATGTCCCATGCGCACGCAGGCAGCGGACGCACCCCCCGATGATAAAAGGACACCCGTTCCCTCCGTCTCCGACGCAACCGCACCTCACCGCACCCACCCTCTCCAGTGCTTTCCTACGACTTACACACTACACTCTACTTTTACTACACTCTACATTCACCATGAAGCGCACCAGTACATCCCCCGTCGAGTCTACCATGTCTCCGTCCAAGCGCCAATGTGTCCGCGAGCACGATGATGCCCCGCCCTCTCCGGTTTTGTACCCCACGGTCAAGCCCGTCTCGGATCATGTCACCCAGGTCGCCACCATCCGCCGAGTCAATCCTATGACCCAAGCTGAAATCGTCGTGGCCAATGAAGCCTTCCTCTGGCTCCTGGACATCCCCACCATACTCCGCCTCAAGCAAACCTGCAAGACCTTTGAAGCCCTCATCCGCGGCTCCAAGTTGGTTCAATACCGCCTTTGGATCGGCTTCACCGGGTTGGAAATCTACCACAGCCACGAAGACTACCTCGTCAACAAGAATGGCTGTTTCGATGTCCAAACGACGATTTTGGACGAGGAAGTACGACGTCTCTACCAGATCTATCCGTCTCCGTCCCCGAGCTGTTTCGACGACCGATGGCTCTTGAAGATCATGGACGCACCCGAAGACACCACAACATACACAAAGGCCGAGCAAGCAACCGCCGCGACCGTTTTTGCTCGCCTGATGATGACCCGAGTCATCAATTCCAACGGTACGATCAAGCTGACTCAATCCAAAATCAAGACATACTTCGAAGCCGTCGAAAAGGCCGCCAAGCTCGGGGACGTTGTCGCGATCTACCTCTTGGGCATTGGGCATTTGAATCGGATTTGTGACATGTCGATTCACCCAAGCGATGACACTCCAGTGCGCCCCCTCCTCAAGATTGCCAGTGTCGCCGGATACCCATTCGCCACCGCTCTCCTTGCCACAACCTACAAGTCGTTTGATTGTGACAGGACGCAAATGAAGTTTTGGAGGCTGCTCTTCAACGCCCAAACGACTCAGCATCCCGCCCATTGGGCATCCGTTTGCAAGTTTCATTCGAAACACGTCACCAACCCCCCATTTCCCATCTCCATCCCCGAAGACGTCGTGGACCTGCTCGCGCGCAAGAGAGAAGCCTTGGTGGATCACCCTCAATTCAAGCCTCTCAGTGCCAAGGAAAGCAGGGATGTCTTCAAAAATGCCCGGTGCCATGATTTTTTCGAAGATGAAATTGAGTGGCGCGACGACATTGACTCTGAAGACGAACTTGTGGACGACATCAGCACCGCTTCGGATGCCGAGGATGATGTTGTTGTGCTTCCTGCTGTGTTCACTGTTCCACCCGAGCTCAATGGTGTGACGTTTGACTTGACTTCTGACTCTGACGACGACTTCACTGAATAAAGAAATGCATTGATCCATGTACACTGTGTGTTGGGACATGGATGTGCTGTGGTTTGGGTGTCCTTGTGCCGAGACGCCTTGAAGGATGGATGACAGGTCGAATCCTTGTGTGTCTCCACGTGATCAGGCTGGATCCGATTCGAACCACGATGAGACGGTTTCGCCGGATCGAACCAACCAAACCCAGGGCATCGCCACACACGCAAAAAATCAGGGCCAGAGATCAAGCACCCAAGTCAACGCGATCGACTGGAATGCCACCAAAGACGTCCTATTACTTTGACTACGAGAGCGACGATGTCGACTCATGGGAATGCCGGATGCGGTGTGAACGCTGTGTGGCCACCAAGATCGATGGTCGACGCTGCACACGCACGACCTGCATTGGGGTCAAGTATTGCTACTCCCATCTGGCGACGGTGAAAAACCTGCGCATCGACGACTCCACCATCCCAGGCGCAGGAAAGGGGCTGTTCGCATACAAGCATGTGCCCGCGAGCGTCTACGATGACGATGAGCGCGAAAGGCTCGAGAATGCAGTCCTGTTCAAGAGAGGTCAAGTGATCATCGAGTACGATGGGCAGCCCATCCCTGGCCAAGAAAGACGTTCCCGGTACGGAAACACCAACGCCCCATACCTCGTTGAACGCCGAATCGGGCTCAACGCGGGACGCTATGAAGATGGTGCATGCCGGAGAGGAGTCGGAACGCTCGCCAACCACTCGGAAGACGGCAACGATGTCAACGCAAAGCTCGCCCAGGACAGGGGAGTCGGGGTGGTGCTGAAGGCACTCCGGGACATTCATAATGGAGAAGAAATCTTTATTGACTATGGTGGTGCCTTTGGGCTGGACGACGAAGATGCAGTGTTTGGTACGAAACGCAAGACCAACACACGCGAGCGAATCGCACGAAGCAGGACATGAAGGGCCTGGCACTCAGTCCTTGGAGATCCAGGCGGGCATCTCCCTGCCAGGAGCAAGGTAACGCAACATGAGTGCAATCACAGCTTGGTCGAACCCACCATCTTCCACACATGCCATGGTCACTGGATCGACAGTGATGTTTTGTGCCAGATTGATCACGATGCTCTCCTTGGCGCAGACCTCATCCCCCACGAGGCGAAACGAGCCGGGCCACGAGTCGACACTGACGATCGTCTTGATTCGCCCCATGTCGAAAGGCACATCCCCCATGGCTCGGTGGTCGAGTTGGATTGAGGTGACCGATGTGAGAGTGGGGATGTGGCTGGTCTTGACGATGAATTGCGAGCTCTTGAGTCCTTCGCCCAGAATGCAGGTGGCACCAGCGTCCAGGGCCTCGGTCACAAGCTCCTTGACATGGGCACCGCTGGGAGGGTTGATCCGCGAGACCAGCCTATTGCCTGGGACGCTCAGGATGCGCGAGCCCAATGCATGCTGGATCAGACGCAGGAGCAGGCGCTTGCCATGATTTTGGTCGTTCCCCACCAAGAAGAGAGCTGACTCGGACGTACGAGATTTGGCGGTGAGGCATGTTGCCAGGAAACGCAAGAGCAGGTGGTACTCTCTATCACTGCTCTTGCCCAGCATCGAGCGAATTATCTCCTCCAGCTTGTAGACTTTGCCATCGACGCCACAATAAAAGTCGTCAACCACGTACGAGACTGGAAGCGAGTGGGTGAAGCAGTCACCAGCATTGACCCGACGAGCCTTGAGGCCAGGCAGCTCCAGCACAATCCCATTGGCGAAGAGGATGGTGTTGGTCGATGCATTGGCGTGGGTGATGGCAAAGGTCTCGATGTTGTACTTTTCGTGCTGGAACGCCAGGGCGAATCTGTACCTGTCTTTGATGATGTCTGGGATGCTTCCCAGAGTGTGCTTGATCTCCTTGACCACTTCCTTGGCATGTTTGAGCTTGTTCGAGCTGGCATACCTTGCTCGAACCACTTCGACCCACCCCTGGAAGGCGCCCTGGGGATCAGTGAGAAGCTTGGTCAGGGCGTAGTCCAGATCCACATGCTTCCAGAGGAGCCCATCAAAGAACCAGATCTTGTGGGTCTTGGTTGCATGGGGCTCGGCGTGAAGAACTTGGTGTGGAACCAGGCCTCGGAGGATGTGGGTGATCGATGGAAGCGAGCCCAGGGCAGCCATCTTGATGGAGATGTTCAAGATGCTGTCATTTGGGAAGAGCACGACACCATCATCCAGAATATCGCTGCTCAGGCCCACGAACACCTCGGTCAACTCGTTGGACATTGTTGCACTCTAACTCTGGTACGCGATCTTTGTTTGGCCCATCCTGACGCAGATCGCGTTTCAGCGATGAAGCGCAAGAACAACCCACCCAAACCACCCCAACCACGCAGTACCTATGACCGGACCAGAATGCCTACGATCCAGACGACTGCGCGTCGCCCAAGATCCCAACGACGCCAGCACCTATGGCCCAGGTGGATGCGCGATTTTTGCGCTGGGGCGCGAGACCACGTGAATCATCCACGTGACCACAGATCTGGCGGCAATCGACCATTCACACCCCAGGAACGCCGTGATCACATGACCCTGCCATCCATCCCGGTCGAGGCCGGACAACGAGAGGCCAGCACGGCCATCTCGCAAACCTCCGCCCCGTCCGATGTCCAGATCTCCGCCATCCTCCGCCCTCCCTCCTCCGTCCTGCGTACTCCCTCCTCCCCGATGCCAGGATTGACTCGCCTTCCCTCAAATACGCCCGGTCCGGCAGGGCAAGAGCGTTTCCTCCTCATCTCGAAGAACGGAGCCCTCCTCCTCTGCCCAGGATGCTGACAGGTACGATGCATTCCCACCACTCCAGCCACCCCTCTGAGCCGATCGCAACTCCCCCGATCTCACCCATTTCTTTGCTTGCAGCCCGCAGCCCGGTCGACGACGATAACGACAACCCCGTTGGTTACGGTGAGTAGACGCTTGATCCCGGCACTCCATCGTCATGGAGACGTGAGGAACTTGAGGATCTGTGTGGGATTTTCGTGAGGATCTTTATGGAGTGGCCATGGAGTGCCAGGTGGGCGGTAGGAATCTCGGCGGAATGTTGGTGGCTGAATTATGGTGTGCGGCGGAATCTCCCCGGAATCTTTAATAGTGTGTTTTATATCAAATCGGAATCCTCAGGGTAAAGTCCTCCCCGGGGAGCCAAATACAAAATGACAAAATGACAAAATGACAAAACGATGTCGTGGCCAATGCGTTATGGTGGGGTTGGGTGGGTTTTGTCGTTTTGTCGTTTTGTTTTTGCCCTCCCAAGGCTCGACTTTTGGTCGATAGATTCCGATTTATTATGAAAATACACTATAAAAGATTCCTAAAAGATTCCTATTCATATATAAAAAGATTCCGAGGAGATTCCGTTCGCGTGTGTTGGAGTGCGGCCATGGTCTGGGCCATAGGTGCTGGGGGCTTGGGGAATCCCATCATAGACACCCCAAAGCACCCAGACTACACAAACAATGCATTTCAGCATTATCTCGCCTGAGTGAACAGCCTCTGCATATCATTGGTCGGCTAAGCGCGTTTGTGTCACTCGGCTGTGTGGCAGTACATGGCGTGTGTGTTGGCTTGTGGGCCGCCCACGCTCCCTATGGTGGCGATTTGCTTACTGCCGTTTGGGGTTACACAAGACACACACACGCATACACCCGATGCACCAGGCTCGTTCCAGCCGCGGGACTTGACCCGCTTCGTTGGGGTGTCGGGGTCGCGGGTGCGAACCCTATGGTCTCGCCCCCAGCGCACCATTCCGGGTACACGGGTATTATCATATCCCTTCCAGCCGTCAGCTTGACATGGCATCCCAGACCATGGCCGCCCTCCAACACACGCGAACGGAATGTCCTCGGAATCTTTTTATATATGAATAGGAATCTTTTAGGAATCTTTTATAGTGTATTTTCATAATAAATCGGAATCTATCGACCAAAAGTCGAGCCTTGGGAGGGCAAAAACAAAACGACAAAACGACAAAACCCACCCAACCCCACCATAACGCATTGGCCACGACATCGTTTTGTCATTTTGTCATTTTGTCATTTTGTATTTGGCTCCCCGGGGAGGACTTTACCCTGAGGATTCCGATTTGATATGAAACACATAATAAAAGATTCCGAAAAGATTCCTTTTCATATGAGAAAGATTCCGCCGAGATTCCTACCACACACACACACCACCAGGGCTGCCTACCTGGACACACAATGAGCCCAGTCTCGCCATACCACTGGAGGAAACCCACAAGCCTGTAGCGAACACAGAGACAACGCAAAAACCCACCCCTGTGAGGACCACGACAAGCAACGACACTGGACGACCAGGTGCTTGGCGAACAACGATAAGCTATATTACGACTTATCAGATAACAACAAGTGTTGTTCGAACTGCAGATACAAAATGGGTGCAAGAAAGGAGGGGCTTTATAGCCAAGAGGGAAACCGAAGGGCGAAAGTGGGCGAGAGGGGTGGAGCGACAAACGAGGGACGAGATGGGGGTGCGAGGGAGGCGGAGCTGCTAGAGAGAGGGGCGAAGCACAGCGCAGTCGGAGGCGAAGTAAGAGTCATCGGCGCCAGCCAATCAGGGAATACACGCCAAGACAAACAAACATGACTCACGGTGCATCACGCGCAGCAGTCCACACGTGTTCCCAACGTGCATGATCATCACATCATCCCCTCCCCAAACTACGGCCACTCCTGCGAACAATAAGTCCAGGCTTGTCGGGGTACCGGCGGTGGAAGTCGGCTATCTTGTCGGGAGCGTTAACGTAGTTGGCGGGCTCCCAGCTGCGATGATCAGTCGAGTAGCCCTTCCAATCAACGAAATAGCTCAACTTACCGCGGACCAGCTTGGAGTCGAGGATCTCCTGGACTTCATACTCCAAGTGGTCGTCGACGCGGACTGGCGGAGGAGGGTCTTGGATGCGGCCGGGGAGGGTGTTCGACT